TCATTAATTCGGCTTCCTACTTTCGACGCTCTAAGGTATAAACTTTCCCACATCATTACTATCCGTATCACTGAAATGAAATCCAATAACGACTTCGGTATAGTTTTCTCTTGATTCTTGTGGTAGGGGTTAGCAACCAGGATGTTTTAGGTCCATGCTTCATGCTCTGTAGTGCCAGCGACCAAAATGTATCAGCAATCTCAAAGTAACTCGAGGTCCTAAAGTCAACTCAGTATAGAAATGCATAACTTCCAGTGATCTTTTCGTGCCGCTACTTTATTCTTCTCTGTCCATATTAATGGACTTTAACTGAACACAGTTCATTTAACTAGTTCATATCTCTGTCCACAATCATACATCGGAAATAATTTCAAAGTTCAAGACAAATAGATCACTTGAAATGACTAAGATGTTGGTGTCAACCTGAATAAATTCATACATCGAGTGAAAATGTGTGACTAGAATTCAGAATAGATCAGAAGTAATATAGTTCGTCAGAGCAAATGTTTGGCTAAAAAATTGCAACTGCCCCTGCGTTGCAAGTTACACTTGTCGAAGTTCTAAGGACTTGCATTTCGTGTCCGTAAATACTGTCCAACCGTATCTCAGCAGATGTGTATTCAAGGTACTCAATAGCTTACTATTGATTAGAACTGGTCATAGCACCTAGGCAAACCAATCACTCTCAATAGTATGTTGGGCTAGTGATTTCTGTCCTAATTTTTCAGACTTGAAGTCCATCAAACCGTAAAACCAACAATTAATCAGGTTTAAAAATTGCCGGGGCAATACTTACAAAAAAAATATGTTCAAAGTCTTCTTTTTGGCTGACCTCAGGCCTAATGAGTCACTAGACATCTTTATTATAGACTTAACTAATTTGCCTAGTGCGCATACTAATTTTCCGTTTTGTATTTTTATAACTTAAAGTTATTCTTATTCAAATGTTACTACCAGCTCCTTCGCTCGCACATCTGATGATGATCATAATCCTGTCAGTATCAGCAATAATTTCCCAAATACAAGGATCACTTATTTAGTATCCACCCCTTTCCTTTACCTCTGTTTAGGAAACCGAGTAGTACCATTACTCTTGCACACTTAAAATGTGCTTCATACTCAAGTATCTGGTGATTGCGTTGCGAAAAATGCATCCCATGTTATTACCGTCTGTTAATCCATACCACTTTATACACTGTATGCAGTTTTCGACGAAACACTGAATCCGATTTGCAGTTATATTTGTGTTTCTCTCGCCATAGGTGTATTTGTTTTGATCATCAGTCTCACGATTCCAAGTGACATATTAATTTACTCAGGATAACACTAAATATTACCCATCTCAACACTGATAATCTTACTTACCTCCACCAACAATTCTAAATCCAAGGCATGATTTTAAATGATTTATTTGCCTTGAGCTTCGACATTATTTTCAACTAATTATTCAGATGTATGACCGAAATTTGGTGGAAATTCACTAGAAAAAAATCCTCCGCTCATATAACGATACTTTATTGTGTTTGATTTTTAAACAGTTCAAAAATAGGCTATTTTTATTGTATTCTTACTTAACGAATGTAGTGTATAGTCGTTATAAATAATAATCCATTCATCGACCTTTCACTCCATGTTTGTTTTACATCACAAATATTGTAATTTCATTCACGATATTCTGCTTTTCTGTTGCTAGAGGTGTTCGTCCATTTGGTGTTTCCCTACTAGTTGCAGGATGGGACCGAGATTTGCAACGACCATTTCTTTACCAATGTGATCCTTCTGTAAGTTTATTATATGAACCATCCAGAAGATTATTTCCTACTAATTAAATAACGTTTTACACGTAACATATCACAGAAGTCAAAATATTTTTAAAAGCATCTTCTTACGTCTTTATAACCGGTCAATAGGGATCGTCTTAAATTAGGCGAAAACATACCACTGTCTAACCTGACACGGAAACCAATAGATTCATGTTGTCACCCATAGCACAAAAAGATGGATTTCGCTAAAACTTGAAACACTGATCATAGAGCATAAGAACTAAGATGTGAAAATAAACGGTGAGTTAATGTAAGCACTTTAAGGTTTATAACTACCCATTTCTGATTCTTTTAAGATTCAAATCAGGAACTTTGAAAATTTGATCAACAGTGACTTCGTGAATTTGTATCATATCATCTATAGCTTTTTTGCCAGGGTGATTTTTACTCCAATCACCATCGTACACCAGTGCAGACGGTGTACTTGCGTGCTTAATAAACAAAAATGAAACTAGCTGTTGTTTGTAATCGGTGTTTCATTATATGAGCTTCAAAGTCATTTCCACCACTATGGAAACCCATTTGCTTCAATCTGCATCTCATTCATTTTATGTTTGTCATAGGGTACGTATTTCCCTTGGAAGGCTACTGCATTAGGACAGAATTCACAAAATGGCAAATCCTTTTTGGAAAAACGGTAAATTAATTTCTTCTATTTGTATTTTGTTGGTTACAGTTTTTTGCTCTTTAAATTCACCGAAATGTAGTTTAACAACTAATTAATAACTAATTTCCATGGTGGTCTAGCTTCAATTGACTCATGCTTTCTACTATAATTATTATTAGCTTTATTCAGTCTGATATTTTTGGTACAATATAGAATTTTCAGCACAACTTTCCGTTCCTTATTTCTTGGTCGATACTGACAATAAATATCGAGTGATCTCCAGTTAGAAGTCCAGTCAATCGACATCTAAATAATGTACATTCTCTTTGTTGCATATCACCACCAACCACGACATCTCTGATTGTGCTTCTTGTACTTGTACAACGAAAGGTTGTACACTTTTCAGAAATGGCACCTGAATAGGTTATGTCATTAATAGTCATAATGATGTATTAAGACAAACAAAAGTAGATAAGTTGTTGAAATACCTAGATGGCAGGAATAGGTAGCTCAGATGTTCAAATAGACATAAATTGGGCGCTTTCAACCGCTACGTTCTGCTTCCTTGTAGCGCACCGTCAATCACCGTTATGACGGAATATAATTACTAATGGTATCTCATCATTCATGTCTAGGTAACTAGAGTTTAATTCATAGATAACAAGTCACAACCTTGATTCAGCTATCTCGGTTTTAGAGAGCCTAATATGACCTAGAGCTGGGTACATAACCTGGTAAATAAGTTACCTTATGATAAGTTTTAAAGAAATAATTATTCAAGTTGTTGCTTTACAAAAAAATTAATTTTATCTGTTTCAACATTGTTTTATAACAATTAAATAATGCATTTAAAACGTCTTTACATTTCCATTGACAGATATAATGAGAATTTAGAACTGGAAGATGCTACACACGCGGCCATATTAACCTTAAAAGAGAGTTTTGAAGGTCAAATGACTGAAAGTAATATTGAAGTTGGTGTATGCAATGAAAATGGTTTTCGAATTTTAACATCAGATGAAGTGAAAGATTATTTAGCAGCTATACCATAAGTTATTTTAGGAAAGTATTTTTTTCAAATAAAACCATTCCAAGTTAATTTTCGTATTGAATTATTTGCACACACTGGTAGTAATAGTAGTAGCGGTGCATTTTAAAGAATTTCATTACATAAGAAATTCAGCAAGTTGTAACAAGCTCAGCACGAATTCAAAAAGAAAAAGCTCGTTTGTCTTTTACCAACTTACGTCACCTATGGCGAAGACGAGATATCTGTCTATCAATTAAGGGACGAGTATACTGCGCAGCAGTTCGCTCTTTACGGCTGTAAAACATAGCCATTAAGAGTAGAAGATACTCGTTAGTTACTAGTGTTTGACACAGGGTATTAGGAAACGATGGTAAATCAGTTGACGAGGTGATGAATCTTCATCGACTGAGATGGTTGGGCCACGTGTTACGTGTGCCTGAACACCGATTACCACGACACGCTATGCTGACTAGTGTTGGCGATGGTTGGGAGAGAGGGTCGGCCAAAGCAAAACGTGGCATCAGTGTTTGAAGTCACTAACTTCTAATCTGAGCCATGTTGTCAGATGCAGACTACCTGGTTGGGGTCCGCGTGACTATCGTAACCAATGGTTGGAGACTCTAGGTGACATGGCTCAGAATCGATCACAATGGCGTGTGTGTATACACTCTTTATCTTCCCTTAAACCTTGAGATTAAAATTGCTTCATATCTATCTTCCTTCTTATACTATATCCTTATATACCACCACCACCACTAAATTAACTACTTCTATGAATTCGTTGTTCATCTTGTTGTGCCAACGAGGTATGACAACTTGGACCGATGCATATGTGTGCCTGGTCCTACGTTGTAGCTGACTGACTGACATTAAATGTCAACATCACAGCTTACTGTTATCTCCATGACTTTTATAGATATTGGTGTGTATAGATGTGACCCTCATAATTACATTAATTTACGCTGATACGTTTTCACTGAATCTAACGCTGTAATAGTGACTGAATGAATATGAAACGGTAATATTTTCGCACGTTAGATCAGATTAGTTAGGCAGTCGTGAATCCCGACAAGACGTTTCTCAGTAGTTAACACGCTCAACTCGCAAATGATAAAACTGCGGATTTGGATCTTAATACCATCGTCTACTTCGGTTGTAGCACTTACACACAATCAAAAATGTAGGTCATTACATTTATTGCATTACTGATGTATCGTTTCTAAGTGAGAGAAAAACAAACCAATCAAGAAAATATGCGTAAATCCACAAATGGTTCATACGAATTACTCTTTACACACATATTAATTAGAAATGAAACAATGTGCTTACATCCTAAATCAATCCAATGGACTAATTTTTGAGAAAAGAAGTTCAACCAACAAACGTTTTAACATAACGTGATGGATGATAAACGCACAAGGGAAGGGTTGTGGCAAAGGTTCAATAGTAATTGATATGAAGTATGTATAAAACCGTTTCTTTTTTTAATAAACAGTGAGAAAATTTTCTCGATAGCGGAGAGTATACAAGAGAATTTATATTAGGCGTTATCATGGTTTAGTTCTTCATTTGCTTGAATGGTAGCACCAACATCGTCATTGCCATCAGTATTAACGTTTGATGATGATTCACCGTCTTCTTCTTGTTGTTCGCGTGCATTATCCACCCATAGGCCACTATCAACACATCTTTTCATATGATACTCAGCTTGTTGTGGATCCATACTGCATAATACGGTTTTTAATAATTCAACATCTTTTTTCTCGAAACACTCTTGAAGATTCTTGTAGAGTGGTAAATAAAATAATGATAAAAGTAAGTTATCCTCATTCATTAATAATCAGCGTTGTTAGAATATAAATTATATACAGCGCATAAGTCGAGGATAGATGCTATTAATCTCTAATAATTGGTTAAGTGATGGATTTTTGCATATTTCGTCAGTAATGGGATGGTGATTATTTAATCAAAGAAAAGCTGTAATTTGTGCTGTTAACTGTGATTATGAATAAATCACACCAAGACACATATCGACTAAATTTCTAAACATGTCACTTGTTTAAAAATATATCTTGCCTTTGGAGCAATGTCAAGGTCCTGTGTATGAAGTTGTCATCCACGCACATTGCTTCTGATGAATCATCTCTTAATTACAACGAAAACTCATTTACCAGCTAATTTAGTCGGGTGAAAATGCCTAATTAAATTCCCTGACCAAAGCTCTTAGTTGTTGTTATTACTTCGACTTTAATTTCTATACAGTCTTTCCATTGATATATGTTGTTTATCCGGAACTTACATACATGAAGCAACTGTGACCATTCATTCACCAGGCTAGTGTGAAGTATCAATACAATGGCCCACAAATGCCTTGGTATGACCGACAGTCGGGAGAGTTCGCTCTTCCTCTCGAAATACCATCATATGGTCATACGTAATATAGCCTCTGCCAGGGAAGTCCTACTCACTGCCTTCTCGTGGCATTACTGTTGTTTACGAAATTGAGAGGAAGAAAAGCGAATGTCCGGTCCTTTAACCGGGTTGGTGGACACGGAAAGTCCACCTAGGGGAGTTGGAAAACCCTCATTCCAAACCAATGGTGCACATGGGTTCCAGTATCCTGAAGGAACAAATGGCGTATGAATCAATCGTTGGTCACCGAGTACCATGGGACTGTATCTCCTCACGATGCTCCACTGCCTTGTGGACTAGACCTTTAGGTCAAATTAGTGTTTGACCACGTACGTGTTTGAAGTTCTTTTTTTTACTTCTGACCCCAAATGTATTGATGGGACCAAGGGAGGGGAATCTACTGTCTCTCCAAATACTCTCATATGACCACGCATATTATGGACGCTGACTGGGAAGTCCTACTCACTACCTTCTCATGACAAGGATGTCTACGAAATTGAGCGGACGAAACGTCAATGTCCAGCGTTAAGACAGGATTGATGGGTACGAAAATTCCATCTAGTGAAATTCGAAAACCACGATTTCTAACCAATGGTCCGCATGGACTCCATGATCTTAAGAACAAATAGCATATGAACTTATTGCCGTTTGGCGGCTCCGACGGAACTGCACGTCCATAGCCTTAACGATTAGATTTCTAGGACGAAGGCTCGGGGAGTGACCTCTAAGAAAACTATATGCTTCCACTTAAGCACCCGGGAAGTATCCTAACCTATATATAAATTGAATAACAAATATTTTGTGTGACGCATATACATTTTGGTTTCCCTTTGTACTAATGTTGTGTTTAAATAAGTAATTGTCACTTTGGCACGGTACCAAGTACGTTTATAAACCAAAGTCTAGTCCCGTTTGTTCTCGAAAACCTGTGTGACCAATACGGTTTTAGTTTGGCTGAAAACTTTGCATATAAAAATCAGTCTAACAAACTTAATCATAAAGCTGGTGATTTCATTATTTCTCCTAAGAACTGTAGATCGGTAGAATGAGTAAGTTGTAAAAATTTCATTGTAAAGTTTCTTTTTAGAAAACAACCAAAAATTCAAAACAATAAGTATCACTAACCGTTGGTAGCGACTCAAAAACTTCAACTGGATCCAGACCACCAGGACCAAGACGTTTTTGCTTTTCTTCCTAGAACAAAAGAACGGAAATTAGCCGTACAGTCACATGTTTTTTTTAATTACTAAGTAAACATGTCCTCCACGCACTCGACGTTACATTGAACTGCAGTCAGTCACAACGTAGAACTTCGTACGTACGTACATTAGTTCGAGTTGCCATACCATATTAGCACAGAGATGTAGTTATCGATTTAAACCCCATAGTGGTAGAAGTAGTTACCCGACCGTTGCTGCTACCTTGATGTGGTGGTCGGGCTTGCCTATCGTGATGAACCAATCGAGCTACACTGGCTGGAACAGTCGTTCCTCAAGGTCCTACCACGCCAGGCAGGTCGGTTGAAGAGCGGTAAGACTAAAAGCAGCAAACCCAAGGTCCGAAGGCGAAGTCGTATTGCTGACTGTACAGAGGTTTGACGGCAGTAGGGTGTTTCCTTCAGACAACCAGCATGACAGCGATGCTGCCTTCTCACAAGGAGGGGTGGGATTAGAAAAAGTCGACCCTAAAAATGCACACCTCGCCTTATCCCACAGATTTCCGTCTCCGGCGGTAAGGTCCTTTGAAGAACGGAGCTAACACAAAAACTACCCACGTTGAACTGCACACATCATTAGTGTAGGGAGTTATGTATCATACTGTCCGTTTGTTCAAACCAAAGAAAATATAGAGTAGTAATCTGCCACTAGTAATAATGAGTAAGTTGCTTTATCAAAACGCCGTTATGGAACTCGGTTTCCAACCAGTTGGTGACACGGATTTGGACCCTGCATGACATACTTTAGTTTAAGCAACCTTGGCCCCGAAAGATTAGTATACTAATTGTTGCTAACTAAATGAGCTATCTCTATTTGTTATCATCATCCTTATACTAAATATGGTATCCATATCAATATTCAGTTATTGAACAATATTTTCATATACATATTAAAACAATTAGAATATGATTTTACCTCTTCAATTTGCATCATAGCTTCTTCTAAACGAACTTTTGCTCGAGCTCTAATTCTTTCTCGAAATGCAGAAAGTTCATCATTGAAAGCTTTTTGATATTCTGGTTCAGGATTCTTAAATCTTAATTTATTCAGAGAAAAAAAAGTGTTATCCAATTATATATAAGTACATAGTATAGAAAATACAAAAGAATAAGTTGGATTGTGGTTGATAGTAGAATCTACGCTAGGACATTATCATTGCAAGTTCTAATGAAAAATTTCAATTACATAATAAAATGTTGATATCTACGCTCTCAAAGTAATGTGAAGCTCTCTGTACACATCACTTTGAAAGTGAAAGAAAATTACAGCAAGATTGCCATCGGCTTCTATTCTGAGACATGTCTGATAAACGTTTCAAGCTAGTGTTTCACCAACTCTAGGATCCCAACCAAGTAGTTGTGAAGGATCAACAGGAGCCAATCCTGTACATCTTTCATAAAACGACACAATGTTATGTACTGACTATCTCTCTCCTCCTTTTTCAACAGGTCACAGCGTTAGCAAATAATGCACAACGTGGAATTCACTGTAATGACATTCGTAATACATGTCCGAGCCACCAAAGTCGGTTTTTCAAGATGGTGACACCAAATGAATTATCGTCGTTGTCAAAACTCTGCATTACTAACATGGTGTTACCAAGGTATGTCAGCCATCCCTTAGAGATAACAATAGTCAAACAAAGAGAGTAGCTTAACATCCTCAATTCGGCGATGTCAAGTTTCACAAGCATAGAGCAAAGCTGCTTTGATTATACTACTTTCATTGATTTCATCATCCACACCATACCACGGTATCTGAAGCCACCTCAAATAGAAAGGCTGAAATATCAGCAATCAACTTGAACATAGTTTGCAATCAATCATAACACAACCTATTTAAATTTCACATCACTAATATAAAACATACATCACTCATTTTATGTATTACATCTTTCTTTTACAATAACTTACACACATATCAATATTTCAGACGTAGAATCATCTTCAACCTGTATAGTAGTAGTATCATATTTATAATTTAAGGATCACTGTGTAGTGGTTATTCTAGTGTTTGTCTAGTCTTTTAGAAATGATTAAATTCTATCTATCAAGTTTCAATGTGATCATTAGTCCTAATGATCACATTGCAAATCGATTGATGATGTTGTAAAACTTCATCAGTTGAGATGGCTGGGACACGTGTTACGTATGCTAAACCACCGACTGTCCCGACATGCAATGTTTCATGGTGTAGGAGTAGGTTGGAAGAAAGCTAGGGATGGCCAGACCAAAACGTGGCAAAATTACACGAAGTCACTGATAATTGGACTGAGCCATGTTGGTAGGTGTAGACTACCTGGTTGGGATGAGCGAGATGATAGCAACCGATGGTTAGAGACCTTAAATAACATGGCTCAAAATGGTTTGCAATGGTGAAAGTGCATCCACTCTTTGTATTCTACCAAATTCTAATCTTCTGAATTCTTCATGTCCCTTTCTTTCTTTTTCTCTTTTCAAATTTATTTCATTGGTTTATACTCCTCAAATAACATCTTCAAACCCCAATCTTTCTCATTACTGCCTATACTCTTACTACTTCTACCACTATGGGATTTGAGTCGACAACTGCATCTCTGTGCTGATGTGGTATGGCAACTCGAACTGACGTACGTATGTACGAAGTTCTATGTTGTGACTGACTGACTGATCATTAGTCCAAGTGATCTAACATCGCATGCACTATGTTAGGATTTGAAATGATCAAACTAAACCATCTCGCTAATGATACTTAACATTTTATATATTATTACTGAACTTACTTCGCAAAGAATGGTCGAATACACGCTCTTGGATCAACTTTTAGTGATTTTGCTAATTCAAGCATAAATTGCATCACTATACACTGATGTGAAACATGTTCCATTAATTCAAATTTCTAATGGAATTTTAAAAGTAAGCCAAGAAAAACAACAAGAGAAACAGAACAATTATCGGGAACAATAATGATATGGATTGAAAACAAGATAAATAAGACTCCATAATAGATTGAAATCACTTGGTGAAACTATTGAAGACTGGTGAGCGTACAAGCATAGCTGAATCATTCTAGTTTCAGACTAGATTCCCCCAAATGCTCTGGTACGGTCAAAAGTGAGGAGAGTTCACTCTCCCTCTCGAAATGCTCTCACATGGCCAGCGAATATATAGCCTCTGCCAGGGAAGTCCTACTCACTGACTTCTCGTGGCATTACTGTTGTTTACGAAATTGAGAAGAAGAAAAGCGAATGTCCGGTCCTTTAACCGGGTTGGTGGACACGGAAAGTCCACCTAGGGGAGTTGGAAAACCCTCATTCCAAACCAATGGTGCACATGGACTCCAGTATCTTGAGGAAACATGGCGTATGAATCAATCGTTGGTCACTGGCTACCATCTGACTGCATCTCTTCACGATTTTATTTTTATTTTATTTAAACACATATATATTGGTACAAAAGGGCACCAGATACATATGCGCCACACAAAATAATGAAAGTAGGAAGAGAAAGGATGAAAAGATAACGCGGACTAAAATGTACAACCAGAAGACTCTTTCAGTTAAGAAAGTTAGAACCACTCTTTATGTAGAAAGTAAAAGAAGGTTGCAGCAGGATCGCCACTGGCTTCTATTCTGAGCCATATCTGATAACGTCTCTAGCCACTGTGTTGCACCATCTCTCGGACCCCAGCCAGGGAGTTGTGAAGGACCAACAGAAGCTAGCCCTTTGCAGCTTTCTTTCATACCACGACACCATGTCATACACTAACCTCCTCTCCGCTTTTTCCAACCAGTCCCAGAGTCGGCAAATAATGCACGGCGTGGAAGTCTCTGGGACGACATTCGTAAAACATGTCCAAGCCACCGAAGTCGGTGTTTCAAGATGGTGACACCAATTGAATTATCGTCTCTGCGCCCGAACACACGATGCCGAACCTCTGCATTACTAACATGGTGTTGCCACTGGATGTCAGCAATCCTTCGGAGACAACGATGATCGAACACAGAGAGACGTCTAACATCCTCAACTCGGAGGCCAGGTTTCACAAGCATAGAGTAAAACTGCTCTCACCGACGCGTTGTAGATCCGACCTTTTACAGCCCGACTAACATCACGAAGGCGCCAAAGATGGCCCAGATTGGCATAAGCCGATCTGGCTTTCATTATACGTGCATCAATCTCATCACTCACGCCACCACCAGCACTTATATAGCTACCTAGATACACGAACTTCTCAACTACTTCGATCTCCTCACCATCCAGGGTGAGTACAGGATGAGAATCCTGCCAGTCTTGTAGGAGTACTTTGCACTTGGAGGGTGCAAAGCACATGCCGTACCTGCGGACACTGATTGCCAACTGATGAAGTGCTGATTGCATGCCTTGGGCATTATCGCACAGTAAGACAATATCATCCGCATACTCAAGGTCGAGAAGTCATTCTCCAGGCAACATATCCACACCGCCATTACTTACATCCACCAGAGCTGTTTCCAGGATGTCATCGATGGCAAAGTTGAAGAGGAATGGTGAGATCGGGCAACCCTGCTTAACCCCACTGCTCGAATGGAACAAGGGAGAAAGGTGGTTGTATGCCCTCACTCTGCCTGAGGTGTTTGTATACAGAGCCTTTTAGATGTTAATAAACTTCTCAGATATACCCTTCTTCAATAGACAATCTCAGAGAACAGTCCTGTCCAACGAATCGAAGGCAGTCATGATACCAAGAAACACTACGATTGTTGGCCTGCGATAAGGCTGACGGTGTTCTAACATTTGGCGGAGGGTGAAGATGTGATCAATGCATCCTCGACCAGAACGAAAACCAGCCTGCTCCTCGCGAGTCAATCGTTCTCGGATTTTAAACAACCTACGAAGAATGACAGAAGCCAATAGTTTGGACGCAATCGGAAGTAGACTTATCCCCCGATAGTTATTGCAGGAACAACGTGAACCCTTTTTAAAGATAGGGACGACTCCAGATAGGTACTCCAAAAGGAGCGGCAATCTTGTACACAACCACGCCAGCGGTAGCTGATCGCGATGTGATCAATCTGAGTCCAGGCTTCAGATGCAGAGGGAGGACGCCAGGTGGCACACCGGCGATGACTGTGCCGGAAGTTAGTGCTAGCCAGAAACAGGTTGTGATCTGTGCACAGTTGCAGCAAACGGTCCCCGTTATCTGTCCTGCGACCAACAAGTCCCCATCGGCCACCTAAACGACTCTCTTCTGTGCCTAGACGCCCGACCTGTGCATTCAAGTCTCCGGCTAATACTACAATATCTGTCGAACGCGCTTTCTGGAGAAGAACTGTTAAGTGGTGGTAAAACTCATCCTTGATTGCATCCGGGCTGCAATCTGTCGGGGCACAGGCGGAGATGACGAAAAGACACCGTTTCTCACGCCGATTTTTCCTCACTTTGATGGAACTTTCTAATCTAACAGCATATAACCGACTGTTAATGGGGATCCAATCGATTAGTGCTGCCTCAGCCCTAGTGCTTAATGCAACGCCAACGCCTGCAAGACCAGACGAAAATGCCACAGAGTCCCAAAATAAGCGCACGTGAAACAAGCTTTTCGAAGCGACAGATGGAGAGCGAATTTGTAGTACTTCACTAGAGTCTTGAATACGGGTCTCGCATAGACAGCAAACATCAACATTAAGACTTTCTAAAGACATAGCCAGCCCCATCTGTTGTCCGATCTGCATTAGTGTGCGAACGTTGAAGTAAGCCAGCTTGAACGGTGTACGCGGTTTCAGAAAGACTGCTTCAGTATTCATAATCGATGGAAGCATTCACTTTCAACCAGACAGTGACTGGAGATTGTTTAAATAGGACAGAGTTTCCACCATGGGCGAGCTACTGCATAAGTTGGAAAGGAAGGATACACAATTTGAGAATAAAGGGAGTGAAAAAGCGACGTAGTAAATAATAGTAATAATAATGGTAATAATAATAATAATAGTGTAAATTGTCTTGCTTCTAGTGTGAGCGAGAATAGTATCGTCAATAGAATTCATCATTTCATTTATTTGTGTGTGGGTTGTGATACTGCCCGGGTGCCCAAACCGATAGTAATAACCAGGACTCATACATACACACACAAACAGTATAACTAAGATCCAACTAAACATAAACCTATATTCGATTACAAAGATTCATGTTAATATTGTTGACATAACAAAACTTTTAAATTACAAACAAAAGATACATTGAATGACAAAATATTCAAGAATAATTTGCTTACCTCTTCCATAGCTAAATCAATACACCAAATTACAAGTTGATTAGCTGTTTCTTCACATACTAAATCAGGATATTTAACAAGAAAATTTTGTGAATCTAATGGTTTTTGTAATAGTCCAAATTTTCGTATAGTTTTATTATGCTTATTAACAAATTCTTTTAAACGATTCACTGCGGCCTCTTCAGAATTTGATGTTGAGTCTAGATTCTCTTCATATTTAAGTTTGGGCGAGTTAATAACCTAAATTTTTCAAGGTTGATTTACATTTTTTGTGTGGAAAAGATGTAGTTTTAAAAAATGAAAAGAGGATTGTTAAATAATCAGACAGAATTTATTCTTATAATTATAATTGCCTGATATATGTATATGACAAACAAACGTGTCGGTGGTCCCAGGATATATGGACAATGCTTTAAAGACACCTATGATCGAATTCTAGTAGCCTATGAATATCCTCTATTCTTACCAGCCATGTTTCACAGCCATAAAGTAGGACGGAACGAACTGCTGTGCAGTAAACTCGTTCTTTGGTTGCTAGACGGATATCTCGACGCAACCCAATACTCAAGCAACATTTTGCATTTCGAGGGGGAGAATCGCATCCTAAACATGCCTGTATTGTTGCTTATAGTGATCAGAAGACTCGGCACTTTGTCAGCGACTTCACCAGATAAACCTGTCATGAGTATATTCTAAGTCTACAAGTGAATCTCCCGGTAAAAGTTTAACTCTTGGAAATTTAGATGAGAAGAGTGTTATCTCTAGGAGCACATCAATGACAAAGTAAAACAAGAATAGAGAGAGTGGACAGTCCTGACGAACACCACTTGAAACAAACAATTATGATGACAGTTCGCCATAAGCTCCAACTCGACCAGTTGTGTTCGAGTACACAGCCTGTATAAGATTAATGTACTTATTTAGTACTCCTATTAGTAAAAAAACCTTACAACAGGTCGAGAAATACCACTATTGTGGGACGTCTGAATGTGTGTCTATAATCTAGGACCTAACGTAGTGTGAATATTTGGTCTATACAGCCAAGTCCAAGTCGAAATCCAGTCTGGTTTTTTCTACTCTGCTTTTCACGAGCTTTAGCTGGGCATCGAAGTATTATTGAAGCTAATACTTTAGACACTATATTAGTCAAACTGATTCTTCTGTGATTATCACAAGAGGACTTTTGTCGTTTCTTATAAACTGGCACAATCAGTGATTGAGACCAGTCAAATGGGATTACGTCCAGTTCCCAGATTCTACCTAAAACCTCAGTCAATCTCACTGCTAATAGTGGACCGTCATCCTTAGAAATCTCAGGGGTAAATCCGTCAGGGCCTGCTGCTCTCCCTTACTTTATATTTCCTATAGCTTTCACAACGCAGAGTTGGAGGACATACATCAACTCGCTGGATGGGAGCACATAAGTCGAGCAGCTGAGCGGGGTGATACCAACAGATATTTCCCTAAATCTTATCTAATTTTGAACAAATATAAGCTTACTATAATCTACGTTGGATACTTAAAAAGAAAAACACTGACAGTTCATCAAATCCACTTTACGTCCTCTTCATAACGCCTCACATTTCTGTGACGTGATTCCCACTATATATACTACATCAAAACCTAAGTCTAAATAGTAAAAATGGTGTACGAATAAGCATAGTATTACGGATAGTTTAGCACACTCAAGAGTTTACAAATAGAGTGTTAATTTCTTCATAAAAGTTTGTGCAACTTACCGTCTTCGATTTCGCATCTTTGCAAATTGTATCAATATTTAAAGGTCTAAGCTGAATTAGAATTCATAGAATATTATTTGAACAAAACCTACTCGTTCTTTCTTTTGTATTTCAGCCACTTTTACTGACCATTCTTTAGCTTCCACCTCGAGTTCATCAAATTTTTTCTGTAACTCCTGCATGTTGTCTGAACCAGCCTACCTCAGTTAAATAAAAACAAATATTTCCACAATTCAAACCTCCTTAGCTTTATTTAATTTCTGTTGTGTTTCGTTATATTTAGTCAGAAACGATTTATAATTTTCTTCAAACTCTGCTTTTTCTTTCTTCCAAGCAGCATCCCTTTCTAGGCGTGCTTGATGTCGCCATCGAAATAAGCTAGGTGTGTCTATATTTGGATGAGTATCATCTTCATCATCAGAAACCTATACGAACATAGAAATATAACGTTACAAATAATCTTTAAAAATTGGCCAGTGATAATCCTTTCGCTTAAAAACAAACATTTCTGTACATGATTACGTATACCAGTAATTGTTATTTAGTACATAGACGGCCAGTCAGTCAATCCTTCGCAACATAGAACCTGATGCATGTGTGTTAATTAGTCACCGCATCACACTAGCATAGCGATACTATCGGGAAGAATTTCATAGCAGAACTAGTAACATCAGTATCAATAAAAACGACTAGGTATACGAAAAGAAAGAAGTTATAAGGAAATTTTAGGACCCAGGTTTTAAAGGAAGGATGAACATACACACACACACTCATTATGAGCAATTCTAAGACATGTATAGTTTTTAACCATTTGTTATGATAATCACTAAACCAAATCAGCTCAGTTCTATTACCAACAACTTTACAAACTAGCGCTACATCATGGTCTGATCGTGGTTGAGCATATGTTATTTTATTATTATTTAAACACAAATATTGGTACAAGGAAGCACCAGATACATATGCGCCATACAAATCTCATTCGATTTGTGTGAGGGCTGTGATACTGTCCAGGTGCCCGAACTGAAGCAGGTGGTTTTCTTAGGGGACCACACTCGGAGCCTTTGACCTGAATGTCTGATCCACAAGGCAGTGGAGCATCGTGAGGAGATGCAGTCCCATGGTAGCCGGTGATCAACGGTTGATTCGTACGCCATTTGTTCCCTCAGGATACTGGAGCCCATGTACACCATTGGTTTGGAATCAGGGTTTTCCAGCTCCCCTAGGTGGATCCTCCACATCCACCAACCCGGTTATAGCGCCGGACATTCGCTTTTCGTCCTCTCACTTTTGTGAACAACATCCCCGCCACGAGAAGGCAGTGAGTAGGACTTCCCTGGCAGAGGCTATATATTCGCTGGCCATGTCAGAGCATTTCGAGAGAGAGAGTAGACTCTCCCCACTCTCGGCCGTAGCAGGGCATTTGGGGGCACTTAGAAGGTCTATTTATTTGTTTGGACATAAATATTGGTACAAGAGGGCATCAGATATATATGCCCCTAAAATACTAAAGAAACGGAAAAGAGATAGTATAAAACAATTGTCTCTTATCAAATGTTAAGTATATATGCATATGAGTGCAAACAGCTTCACAGACACGTAGAAGATCGAAGCATTGGTATTTTCTATGTAATCAGATCGTAACATTATAGTCAAAGAATTAGGCCTCGATTTTGGTGCCCGAGTAGTACTCCAGCCCTCACACAAATCGAATGATGAAGTGACATATGTGTATTTGGTGCCTCCTTCTAATCATGTTTGTTTAAATAGACAAGTCATAATTCAAATTTAAGTATATAATCCTGTACGTAATATAAATTAGTCACATTCTCAACCAACTGATACAGTTGCAACTATCCATTTACTCAAGGAATGGAGTTACATACATCTAGATCTCAATCTGTAAGTCAACCAATAAGCGATTAGACTGAGATGCAATCTGTTTCGTATCACCAAACGTCCTTCAATCATAAGTGTCTTTGATGGACTCCTAGCATATAGAATGCAATAAACAATCCAGTAATGTTGACGTTAGACATACGATACCATGTAGCATTGCCAAGTAAGTTGATGAGCCTACAAACATTCTAGGGAGATGCTAGGCATGCCTATTCTATCTATCCTGACAAAAGATGCTGACTGGGATGCAAGTCAAAAATAAACTAGAGGTCGTTACATCTCAATTGTACATGTTGACATTCACTGCTAATGTCTCGTCAGAACACGTGAAATTTCTAGTTAGTGGTCGAGGAAGTCTTAAACTGAAGTGCAATGAAGATTAAATTCGTCATGATGCCACAATCACACTATATTCTCTGAATTCACAGATCATCAACATTCTTGACTTTCAGTTGTGTAGCCTGACTTGTATTTTGACTGTACTTTTATATGTAAATTCCCATTGTAGTTGATAATGATTGCCCTTCCATTCCAACCTTATCGAGTTTTCTTTGTTTAAAGTGGCGTCAACTTTAGAACTTCAGCACCCACAAAACTGCCTGAACTACTTAGCTTAACTTCGTGCTTAAAGAACGGTTGAGAAAGTTAGTTATCATTAAAAGAGGAGAAATAAACTGGTTATTTTCCATAAATTACCCAAACAACCAATAAAGGGGAAAATTCATTGGAAAATAAGGAGGAAATAATGCGCGAATGCGCCAAAATATCTGCTTCTTCGCCTCAGTGAAATAGTGCGGAATTTCCCCTTTATGTCACTCTGCATTTCAAATATCGCTCAACTGTCTACTTTTCGCCTAAATATCCGCTGAATTGTCTATTTTTCGCTTAATGTACGCCAAATCGTTTACTTTTCGCCTTTTCTGGATCAGAAGGCATACCATCTTAACCAGAACACTAATATGTGGTTATATAAAAACAAAGGCCTATATTATTTGGAAGATAATGTTGAGGTTATAAGGCGTTCGATTATTATTATTTGGTGAAAATTAGTACTGACAAGGACAGTACCAGAAGCATCGAATTCCAGAAATCATCTCATCACGTTGAAAATTACATTAATTACATGCAAACACAAATGACTGTGGAACAGAAAATATGAAGTCTAGTTTAGGAAAAATACAAACCTCGATGTGATCCCACTTGCTATAGTTGAGACGCGACATCCCGAGGAACAAAATGCAAAGAAAAGCTTAGAAGCTTTTTGAAAATCCGCTAGATTTTCAAACACCACCAAACAACATGAGATGCAATTGTAACAGTCATTAATTGAGGGAAGCCAAGGCCTCAATAATAGCAACAAAGTACAACAATTCTGTAGTTGATCCAACTCCCATTTCGGATGTGAAGCTATTATTTGGTGTCTCTGTGTAAGTCCAATATCCTTGTCACCAGATTGCATAAACAGATTGATTTCTTCACACTGGCTTCTCGTTGTTTCGGTACAGTTCGAGGTATTCGTTAAAGTAGATTGGATCCTATTCTATCCACTCAACTTCACTAATTCTAGTCAGTTTGGTAGTTATTTGTGAATTTCTTTATCGTGTGGTTCGAGTGAGTGCATCTGTCTCAGGGCAGTGGGGATCCTAGATGCCGGAAACTAACACATTGTGAGGCAGGAGGTTAGTTGGACGCAACCTCAAAAAAATAAGGTGGTAATTTGTGTGCTGTAGAAAGATGACTGTTTCAAGAAAAACAGGTAAGTTAGGTAGTTGATTATGCAGACAGTGTTAGGAGACCTAATTGGGGGAATAGGATGGGAGACAGAGGTGATAGTAAGAGACGTATGAAGTAGTTACTGGTATGTAGTAATGATAATTGAGATGACTTACAAGTCATCCATCAAACATAACAGGTCGAAGAGGGTGAGTACGTGTATGTCGAGTCACTTCTTAAAGCCATCCACTGGTTGGGTTCTGGACACCTCACCAAAGGAAGCGTTCCGAATGAGGTCCACTCATAGTGAGAGTTTTTGGTTGTTCAACCTTTGATATCCATCCATCCGCGAGTTTTCTGTATGGGTTTAGAGATGTTCGAGCAACATGTGTGTGTTGAGATGGTTTACAGTGCCTGATATGTTGTGTGCCACTAGCAGATCACCTCTTATTCTCAAATAGCCCAACAAGAATAGACCCGAAACATCCTGACTTCCATAAATTTTCAGAGCCTGGATAGAAGTGGTTTAGCGAAAATCATCTCTTTGTGATCACCGATATGAGAAACACGTTAGGTAGTGTGTCGAAGATATTTGTTGGATCGAAGACTGCTGTCCCTATCCATGCATTTACTTGTTGTTTATTTATCGATTTTTCAGTTACCTTCGACAGCATAGGGAGTAACGCTACTGGTCTGTCACCAGCTAGGTATTTTCTGTCGCCTAGGAGGATCGGAAAAAGAGTGCTCTGCTTCCATCCTCGTGAGGGTTGTGGTGTATATAACGAGAGAGTAAGTAGATCACGCATTGATAAGTTTACGGCCTCCTCACTCAGTTTCGAGATCATGGTTCTGATGTTGTCATATCCTGGTGACTTACCTGGACATTGGGATCTCAGCCCCCTTAATACCGAACCGGGAGTTATTTGGATGTCTCCCAGACACTCAACTGACATTGCAAGTGAGAGATGCTTCACGCGTCAGTGCTCCAGTTTAAGTTCGTCAAAGAGGTTCGCATTGAATATCTCTGCCAACTTTAAGTTACTGAGATCTTTGCCGTTTGTCCGTCTAAGAGTACAAATACCCGGTTTGTATGCTTTCTCCCAGTCACAAGCTTGTAGTGATATTAATGTTTGGCTCTCACTCCGGCCAATGGCATCACCTGAAAGAGCTTTTTCCCATTAGGATTTTGAGGTTGCACCTGTTTCTCAATGTCAAGTAAGAGCTAAGATTCGAATCCTTCTGGGAAACTTTCCACTTGTACCAGACTCTTTGTTAGGCATTCGGAAAGTGCTTTGCGTCACGCTTAACCCAGTATTCCGCTTTACAGGTATTTGCCTTGCCTGATTCGTATTGCGTAAGAGAGAATTTTAAATAATCTATCTCACTACCTGCTAGTGGTCATTCACCGATAAACCCGAACACCCTCGTGGCTATGGAGCGTGTTGAAGATGCTCCCTGATCGTTGTGTAGTCTCCTCTATTGTGGCTAAGGTAGTGAACATTCTCATCCCACCTTAGTTTTCCTTTAACCACTACGTCCTATTTTTTGTGATAATAAACTAATCCTGGGTCCATAAACAGTTTAGCGTGTTCACGAAACTCGATGTTTTCGAACGCGATAATACTGGGTGTTTTTTAGGTTCAAAGTAATAATTAAATAAACTAGAAGTATTGATCTATGCATGTTTTTTACACTTGGAGCACTCGGTTTCCATACGAATCGTCTAGTCACATACAGTCCGTTTTACGCTAGCTACATGGATTTCATCTAACAACACATTTTACTTCTGTTTAACAAACTAAAGAGATTATTAGCAGTTCATTATCACGTAGCATGATTCAAAACCCGTGATAGAGCACAATTCAACAAACAAGTTCATGCTCCGAAAAGGACCATTAGAGATTTCAAACTTTAACTCCAGATACAAGTGTGACTTTGGTGGACAGCTGAACATCGAACTTTGTGGCTGACCGAGTGCTTATATAGACGATTATAAACTACGGAAGCAGCTCATACGGATCTCTGACTGAACGTTTCGGACAACTAAAGACTTCTGTTTTACTTTTGAAGTTGTTAGCAATAATTATCGGGACGTCATTACGGAACAACATGAACTCATATTATGAAACGTGAGTAGATCTAATTAACCACAGAAAGCTCAGATTTATTATAATAGTAACCATTCCGATTCATCCAGACGGGTGATTAATCAGGAAAGCACTTTGAATTAGTCTTTAGCTCTTAGTCTTACCTTTCATGTGACAAATCGCACCTTCGTAGTTCTTGCTGGCTGTATTGACCACGTTACCGTGAATGTGGAAAAATTGGACATATACAAAAGGTCTGTAAAAGTTCCAAGTTGTCCGCGAACAACATGATTTCAGAAAAGGTTTATCTTGCACAAGAAACCTCGTTATAGCAAGAGAGCATTGGAAAAAGGTTTTAGACAACGGAAAATCAGTGGGTGTGGTCTACATAGACTTCAGCAAAGCGTTTCACAAGGTGACAACAAGTAGACTACTCTCGAAGCTAGAAAATCTTGGTATTACCGGATCTCCCCTAAAATGGCTTAAGGATTTCCTAGTAGGTCGTAGACAGAAAGTAAGAATAAATTCGACATGCTCCATCTGGACACCAGTACTGAGTGAAGTATAGCGTGGTTCTGCCCTGAGTCTTTTACTTTTTATACTGTATGTATATGATCTCCCAAGTATTGTAGAGTCCTCAACGCTATTATGCGCTGAAGATGTAAAAATCTGGCGAAAAATAACGGGAGACGCAGATACATGTGCTTTTCAGGCAGGCTTAAATATTGTGATTAACTGGTCTAAAGAGTGGCTGATATCTTTCAACACGACAAAGTGTGTCTACAGGTACTCTGAGGATACAATGGTTAGTAGGTACAGCAAAGGGGAATTGCCTGTACCCATGGTAAAGTCCCATAAAGATCTTGGGGTTACATTGAGCCATGATCTCAAGACGATGGCCCATTGCCGGGAGGTCGCAGCTAAGGGGTTTAGAACCCTCTGGGCCTTAAAACGGACATTCACCAAGTTAGATACTACCATGTTCACTACAGTCAACACATCCTTAGTGAAAATTAAGTTTGAGAACTGCGTCCAGGCTGCAAGCCCCTGTTTAAAGTGTGACTCGGATAGCCTGGAAGAAGTACAGTTGGCAGCTACACAAGCAACTCCAGAGCTCAGGGGTTTATCGTACAAAAGGCGGCTTAAAAAACTGGGCTTCTTTACTCTGTTCTGTCGCAGATTAAGAGGTGATCTGGTTTTTATGTACAGAAAATTAAGAAATGATTTTGAAGCTATTATATCCTCTCTTTTTCTTTCCGCTAGAGCATGACATCTCAGAAAACATAGCAGAATAGTAAAAAAGCCATGGAGGAGTAAAATACCTGGGGCATACAGGTTTTCACACCGAGTCATCAATCCTTGTTACTTCTTATCCGAAGCAGTGGTGTCCGCACCCTCGATTGACCCGTTCAAGAGAAGGCTGGACACTCATGGAAGCATACTAGAAAGAAAATAATATAGGCCATGGACTTTCTTTCCTTACTACACAAATCCCAATCTGAAACTGAAGTATAATAATAAAGAGATGAAGTATATGGAACAAATCTAGAAAGTTTTAGGGATACAAACAAAAACTGAAAATGTGCGGTCACCAAAATATCTTGGTGCACTTCCATGAATGTCCACAACAAGGCGACTATAATAGCACATAAAACTCCCTTTCATAGAAGGTGCTGGCAAAATCATCATTTTACTACCACATCGGGCACGATATTAGTTACCACTATACCATTAATGGTACATCTATGCCACGCGTTCATGCGCATAAAGACTTAGGAGTAATTATAAGTCAAGACTTAAAAACTACTACGCACTGCAATGCGGTTGCTTCCAAAGGCTATAGCGCGCTATGGTCGCTTCGCAGAGCATTTAAATGCTTTGACGAGGATATGTTTCGAATTTTATATCCCACCTATGTAAGGCCACACTTAGAATACTGTATACAAGCAGCTAGCCCTTGTCTGATAAAGGATACTAAATCGCTTGAGCGTGTCCAGCGTGTAGGGACAAAATTAGTAAAGGGTCTTCCTAAACTCCCTTACGATGAGCGTTTAAAACGTCTAAACCTTTTCCCCTTATCTTATCGTAGGACGCGAGGTGACCTTATACTGGCATTTCGTATATTTACTTGTGATCTGGGTGTTAATATGTCTTATCTTTTTGCTCCCTCCAGCACTAATAATCTCCGGGGTCATAGCAAGAAGGTTCTGTAACCGCGATCTAATAAACTAAAGTTGGGGTCCCGTTTTTCTCATCGAGTGGTCAATAACTGGAACGCTTTACCAGAACAAGTGGTATCAGCACCATCAGTGAACATTTTCAAGAAGAAGCTGGACCTTCACTGGAAGGAAATCTGTCAGGATTAACACAGGTTCATCAACCTACTATCCTTATTACTGAAGACTGAAGACTTATATCCACACAGGAGTACTTCAACTCTTTTACAGTCAAGTGAAAGTAAGCAGTTATGAGAAGTGGTAATTCATGGATACCAGTTTAGTAATCGCCTATTCATTTCAGGTAACTCACACGTGACTACAAGGACATAAACTCTCCTTATGAGACAGTTCTGTCTCGTCAGCATATCGAAACTTGTGATAACAATTAAACAGTGGACAAGTGTAGTAAAAAGTTGAGAAAAGACTAAAAAATTAAAGCATCGTAGGGTGTGCCAAAACGCATGATAATGAACTTTGCTATGTGCTGGGAACACCTAAGTGAAATATAATAGTCCTTTGTTTTAAGGAATCGGTGAAACGCTGACCTGTTCAAGGCGGTGGTTTCGCAAAAGGTCGGTGTTTTTTGAACGAGAATGTTCGGAGTTTTATTAAGGGAGCGGAAGTCTCGAAAACAATTAGTGCTGCTAAGTAGATGATGGAAAAAGCATTCGTCTAGCGCATTACTAAAGACTTGTACGTACAAGCCGGCACTGTATCGATATATCGATACGACTATTGGATAATTCCTAACGTAGTACCCCGTACATTAGTAGTGAATAAGGTATTGTACATTAGCTTTACTCTTTTGGAGTGTAAAAATCGAGTTAATATTTTTGTACACTTTTCTTCACCAGTTTATCGTAAACCCACACGTTAGAATATTGCTTGAACAGCCACCCAAACAACCAATAAATGGGAAATAAAGCGGAAAATGCATTGGAAAATAAGTTGTTAACAAATGGGAAATGCGCCAAAATGTCTGCTTTTTCGCCTGTCCGGTGGAAATGAAGCGGAATTTACCCTTTTTGTCGCTCGGTTTTTCAAATGTCACTAAATTACCGGTTTTTACCAAAAATATTCGACGAATAGCCGACATTTCCCCCAAATATCCGGCGAATTTCCAATTTTTCCGCTAAATATCCGACGACTTGCCGATTATTAGCCTAAATATCCGCTACATTGTCCACTTTTCCACTACATACACACTGATGTATTTACCGCAACCGCCTCCTGTGTTCACTTTCATTCCCACAAAACAGCACACGAATAATGTAAGGTACTTAAAATATGGTATAATTTTCAAATTTTTATTGAAAACAAAAAGTTCATCAATGCATTAACGTTGTACATGTACAACGTTATGAGCAGATGGTAGAGCATCAATGCTCCTTATGTAATTGCCATTGACACTGACCAGGCATTTCACGTATTCATTCTTTCCACCAGGCCTGTTGGACTATAAGAGATTCAAACAATCCTTGCGAATTCTAAAATGTAATGAAGAAAAACGCTACTATGTCTAGGAAACTTGTTTTGCACAACAAGGTACTTGAAGCTGAACTTACGGTTATATCCTTGAACACGAAAGACTCTACCTATAGATAAACAATAATCACTTTAAAGCCGTACATACGTGTTCTTTCTTCCGTCGATGACGCTTCTGTACTTTGTCTCTCATGTCGTGGAAATAACTTTGCGTCGCCATGTCACATAGTTTCGCAAGGTCTTTCTCATTGACAGATGAAGACAGGAATCGATTAGTCAGTGCACCTGAAGTTTAAAAACCTTAATTATCTTGCTTCGTACGCAGCCATAAAACCGGCACTTCTGAATCGCTCGTTTTGATGAAGTACCAAGTAACGTGAAATTAATGGCGATTTTAGGTTTCATGATGTAGGACAGAAGATATCGCACGGAGGTTTTAGGATCATCATCCATTAAACGTGTCAACATGGCCATCTGTAATGGGAATGAAGGATAAAAATCATGTTGTGTGCTTACGAATCTGCCCCTCACGTCTTTTTGCTCTAAACAAGCGTCCAATGTTCCCAGTTCCTCTTCAGATGACAAAGGGAACTGTTGGCTGGATAGTCCACAGTCAAATTAACGCTGATCTTCGCGGTCAGTGAACCTTGAGAGCACCAGCTTCATATTTGTACTCAGTTCACTCAAGCTTGCTAACATTTTAAGCTGCAAAGTATACATTCTTTCAAATCGGAAAAATAGAAGTAGATCCTTGGGATGACTTGGAGAGGAGGTCAGTGTATGACATGGTGTCGTGACATGAAAGAAAGCTGCAAAGGGCTAGCTTCTGTTGGTCCTTCACGACTCCCTGGCTGGGGTTCGAGAGATGGTGCAACACAGTGGCTAGAGACGTTATCGGATATGGCTGAGAATAGAAGCCAGTGGCGATCCTGCTGCAACCTTCTTTTACTTTCTACATAAAGAGTGGTTCTAACTTTCTTAACTGAAAGAGTCTTCTGGTTGTACATTTTAGTCCGCGTTACCTTTTCATCCTTTCTCTTCCTACTTTCATTATTTTGTGTGGCGCATATGTATCTGGTGCCCTTTTGTACCAATATATATGTGTTTAAATAAAATAATAATAAATAATAGGAATGACTTACTCAGCAATTAGATCTTTATCCTCGGACGTGGAGGGCGAGGTGTCTAATTGTGTCGAACTGCTTAATAGACGTCCAAATTAAAGATGCTTACTTGGCAATCGGAGAGAACCTTCTCAAACATCCGAAGTTTTGGATATTGGACGCAGCTATTCCCAGCCTGCATCTCTGCGACATCCATGTCCACGGAATTGTAAAGAAAACTTTCTTTACGTTTCAATGCATTTCTACGAAATTTAAGTAAGATTATTGAACTGACCTCTTTTGCTTATCTGTGTTTAAGGGCAACGTATTGTCGTCCGGCGAAGAGTTCTCATTAGTAGCATAGCACACTTGCAACGCTGCCAACAATTCATTGGCAGATTTGAGATTTTCTACAAGAAGCGATAATTTGCATGTCTGTAACTAACCACATTTGTGGACAACACTGCACTTGAACATAGACCAATTGTCTTCAGGCAGGTCATTGTTTTGCAGATGAAGATCAATGTTCTCCCTCGGATACAGACAGCGTTTTTCTCCAATCACCCAAAGTCCCGCTGCAATCACGAACTTACTTTTGCTTTGTGTCTTAAGGATTACGTACTTAATGATTGGAGACTAAATATAACATAACAGGAAATTAAAGGAAATACAATTACATAACAGTGTGCAACAAAGGGACAATAACCAAATGATTAACACAATTAATAGACATATATTTACAGTCAACATCACGAATCGAAACCCAACTGTATGCACTGCTAACTACGGAACATTTAAATATTCCTATATCAGTGGAAGGTAATGGATCTGTAAAGTAATTTTGTGGGTCTGTAAATTGCCTGAATTTTAATAGTCCACTATCCTGAATATCAGTAATCAATCCCGGCTTTCCGTTTACTACTACAACGTTATCAGGCTTAAATGAATTTATTTGGCTATTCCTAAACATTATTACTTGCTTGCGTGAGTCAGCCTTACCTATCACTAGGTTATCATTAGTCGAAATGTCAACCTGGAGCCTATCGCAGAAAGACATTTGTTCCGCATAACGCTGAGCTGCTTGCTTAACCACGGAATACCCATTGTGTACGGATTTCTTAATTTGTCTCATATAAGACTCGAATGGAAATGCTGAGTAGCTATCTAACGGAACATGTGCTAAAACATCGTCAGGAAGATGCTGTAGCGAATGCACATTATAAACTAAGTTCTCACATCCGTAACACCATTCATATTCTTTAAGAAAATTCCTTAAATCCATCCTGACAGATTCTATAACCCTATTATAAAACTGAGGATGTGTAAGCAAATACGAATTAATCATGCATGATTAACTCGTACATATTTTTGTCAATCGATCATCAGCATGGTTGTAACCGTTCTTCGTAAATCATCTATACACTACTTGGATATCGAATTTGTGATCTCTGTGCATAACGTCTGGTAATACAAACGTCTAACAAAAATGGCCTGCATCCTCTAGGGTGAAGGGGGATTCTCGATATCCCGTAATCCACGTAAAGAAATGGCTACTGCTATTCTATGTTTCCTCATCGTCAGTGTGTTACTACATAGCGTCTTCAATTTATGAGTATATAGAGAATGCAGTTATAGTAGTTGTGTACAATATATTGAACGGTTTAGTTGTTGAGCAACGTCATATGTAGTGTGGTGCATATTTTTATAACTACGTGTATTTTCATCAATATTTAGTCCTTTTCCGACTTTAAGATTATGCATAAGTAAAAATGCACAATACCTTTCAGTTTGATACAAGCACACTTGTTTTTGCGGTTCTTCACGGTCGCCGAAATCTTTTTCACCTCAATATTATTCCACAGTCGTCCTTCGTTAAAGTTCACTGCAAAAGTTCAGGTCTTGATGTATTGCAGGTCATTTAGTTTATTGCTATTTACGTTTAACACATCTTGGGGTTGATAAATGTGTACTTGCTCTACTAAATTACTGACAATAGTCAACGTATTACTTTGGACAGTAACTTGTTGATTACAGTCACTCCAAATCGTTATCATCTGAAGTATTTATTTAAATAAATAAATACTTCAGATGATAACGATTTGGAGTGACTGTAATCAACAAGTTACTGTCCAAAGTAATACGTTGACTATTGTCAGTAATTTAGTAGAGCAAGTACACATCTTGGAGTGTAGTTTGTAGCCCCCAAATGCCCTGGTACGACCGAGAGTGGGGAGGGGCCACCCTCCCTCTCGAAATGCTCTCACACAGCACTAACTTTCGGCGCAGTCGTTGCCGATGTGCCACGTGGTGTCCTCCTTCTGCACCTCAAACCTGGACTCAGATTGATCACATTAGCTACCGCTGGCGTGGTTGTGTACAAGACTACCGCTCCTTTTGGAGTACCTGTCTGGACTCTGACCATGCCCTGGTCTGTGCAAAGCTTGCCTTACTTTTCAGTGGCCAACGAATTGATAGTCATCAACGGATTAATATCAGCAAATTGGTTGCAACTTCTGCTGCAAGTAAGTATCGAACCGAGCTAGCTTCTAGGCTAGCTACCATCCCGCCGAAAAGTATAGATAAGTATTGGTTGCAACTGCTTGAGGCCATGAAAATGACGAGTAAAGCCGCTTGCAGCTTAGCAAAACGTCCCGCTTGTAAGCACTAGGTTTCTTCAGGCTCCTTACAACTGATGGAAGCCCGCCGGCCTACTCCGGGTGACCGTGATTTTGACCACAAACGAAGGCTGTTACGCAATGAAACTGGGCAAAGCTTTCGTCAGGATCGAGAAGCCTGGTGGTGGAAGCGTGCGAATGAGATGGAAGCAGCAGCTGCATCTGGTAACTACCGGGAGCTCTTCCAAGTCATCCGAGCCACTGGCAGCAAGAAGTCTGGTGTGAGTGAAACAATCTACGAGGGTGACGAGATGTCAATCACTAACATCCATTGACGTCTTGGACGATGCGCAGGATTCTTTGAAGGGTAGTTCAACTGGTCTGCTGCTCCGGCAACATCGATCAGATTGTCCTGTTCTCCGTGGCCGGTGACGACTGATCCACCAAACGAGGCGGAAGTCCGCAAGGGACTCCAACTCTTGAAGCGCTACAAATCACCGGGCCCAGATGACTTACCTCCGGCTCTTTTTAAAGATGGTGGTGACTTGCTGGCTAAGGAACTGACTGTGTTGTTTGCAAAGGTTTGGGAGCAAGAAAGTGTTCCAACATCATGGAATGAGTCAACAGTCGTCCCTATCCTTAAAAATGGTTCACGTCGTTCCTGTAACAACTATCGGGAGATAAGTCTACTTCCGATTGCGTCCAAACTATTGGCTTCTATCATTCTCCGTAGGTTGTTTAAAATCCGAGAACGATTGACTCGCGAGGAGCAGGCTGGTTTTCGTTCTGGTCGAGGATGCATTGATCACATCTTCACCCTCCGCCAAATGTTAGAACACCGTCAGCCTTATCGCAGGCCAACAATCGTAGTGTTTCTTGATATCATGACTGCCTTCGATTCGTTGGACAGGACTGTTCTCTGAGATTGTCTATTGAAGAAGGGTATATCTGAGAAGTTTATTAACATCTAAAAGGCTCTGTATACAAACACCTCAGACAGAGTGAGAGCATACAACCACCTTTCTCCCTTGTTTCATTCGAGCAGTGGGGTTAGACAGGGTTGCCCAATCTCACCATTCCTCTTCAACGTTGTCATCGATGACATTCTGTAAACAGCTCTGATGGCAGTGTGGACCCGCTGCCTGGAGAAAGACTTTGAGTGTGCGGATGATATTGTCTTACTGTGCGATGATTCTCAAGGCATGCAATGCGCACTTAATCAGTTGACAACTAGTGTCTGTAGGTATAATATGTGCTTTGCACCTTCCAAGTGCAAAGTATTTTTTCAAGACTGAGAAGACCCTGATCTTGCACTCACCTCGGGTGGTGAGCAGATAGGAGTCGATAAGTTCGTGTATCTGGGTAGTTACATAAGTGCTGGTGGTGGCGCAGATGATGAAATCAATTCACGTAAAGTGAAGGCCAAAGCGACTTATGCCAATCTAGTTCATCTTTTGCGCATTCGTGATGTTAGCTTGTCTGTAAAAAGTCGAATCTACAACGCGTCTGTGAGAGCAGTATTTCTTTATGCTTATGAAACCTGCCCCCCTCCCCCGATTTGAGGATGTTGGACAACTCTCTGTGTTTGATCATCGTTGTCTACGAAAGATTGCTGACACCCAGTGGTAAAACCATGTTAGTGATGCAGAGGTTCAGCATCGTGTGTTCGGGCGCAGAGAAGATAATCCAATTGGTGTCACCATCTTGGAACATCGACTTCGGTGGCTTGGACATATTCTACGAATGACGTCCCAGAGAATTCCTCATCGTGCGTTATTCGCTGACGCTGGGACTGGTTGGAAAAAGCGGATAGGTGGTCAGTGTATGACATGGTGTCGTGGTATGAAAGAAAGCTGCAAAGGGCTAGCTTCTGTTGGACCTTCACGACTCCCTGGCTAGGATCCGAGGGATGGTGCAACACAGTGGCTAGAGACGTTATCAGATATGGCTCCTTCTGTAACCTTTTACTTTTATAAAGAGTGGTTCTAACTTCCTTAACTGAAAGAGTTCTTCTGGTTGTAAATTTCTGTTCCCCCCTATTCTTATTATTACACTAACACTAATCTGCGGTTGTTGTTCTTTTTTTCTTTTTTCTTATATGCACCTTACCGTCTTTTTTCTCTTCTCATTCTCATTGTTTTGTGTGGCGCGTATATATCTGGTGCCCCCCTGTACCAATGTTTATGTGTTAAAAAATAAATAATAAACTGGTGACAATATTTCACAACTAACGGCATAATATATCACTCCCAGCTTATTCTAAACCATCAGATTGCCTCACTATGAACATAACCTTTTTTATATTTTGTGTCAGTGTGGCTTACGAACGTATTCTGTAGCAACAATAGTATCAATGTAAGCTATAACTGTGCAACTAGATAATATACAATTTATCATGTAGGTATAGCTACTTATTGATATAAGCTTTTTAATACCATCTTTATTTTTCAGGTCCTGTCTTTGCTTTTACGTTTACGAAATACTCAATCTTTTATGTCTTCTTGCGAAGACCTTTTTCAGAGTTTCTCTCGTAAAGTTGATATTTCCAATATATCTAGTGACTTATTCGCTGACTCATCCACTGAATCACTTGGAGTAAAGTTGTAATAACTTTCATGGAAAGACTTATTATTATATTTTCTTAAAGAGAGAAACCGAAGGATAAACAAAACCGTGTGATTCATAGCGTCGGTAAACTTATTCCAGACTTTTCTTCGTATGAAAAGCATGAATTAGTTGTGGAATCGGATATTAGTAACCATACATCTTGTTTTCACCATCAAATAGCGAATCGTAAGCTGGATTTTATCATTTAACAATTATTTACAGGTAACGAAGAACGTACTACTCCACCTGAATACCATCCGAATTTGGTTGTAAAAACCAAATCTTATGATATTTTCAATAGTTCATCTGCTGCATTTTGTAGTACTCCTGGACCATCAAACTCCCTTTCCACCTTGAAGTCGCTTAAAAATACTCATGATTTACCAGCACCTAAAATTGTGTCAGGTGATGTTTTAGTGAATACTCTTCAGGTGAGTTGATTTTTGTCCACATGGATCATAATCCAAATCCCTGTATAATTGTGTTTATTTCAGTCAATTTTTAATCCTTATTAGTTTCTAACATCATTTGTTACATGCTGGTCAGTTTACACAGTATAATACCGATGAGTTCTGGAGTGATTTGGAACAGTTGTAACATAAAGTATGAAATCAAAATGTCCTTGCCTTTTAAATTGTTGAATCCTAATTTATAACTTTTAAAAGATCTACCTATTTTATAGGCACATAAATCTAATATCTATTCAGACCGAAATTCCTGGTCATCTACTTAATTTCTGTTCTGTATACGTTGAATCTGCTCCTTAGGTTTCAATTGTTCTTGTTTTCTTGATCTTACCTTTGTTCCCAATTGCAAGTGAATGAGTTTTGCGGGCTGTTGTTAGGTGCACATAAAAAAAAATTATAAAATTTTCGACGTCTATGATCAATAATATGCCTTAACCACAACTACTGCTTCGAAGCGATGATTGAGTTTGCCTATCGTGATGACTGTCGAGCTGGAAAATTCATTACTTAAGGTTCTATTATGCTAGGCAGGTCAGTTTGAGAAAAGTACGACCAAGAATAGAAAAAAAGGTCTAAGGTCAGAATCTTACTACTGATTGCACTGTAGAATCAAGGATGGGGTTTCCATCAGACAGCCAGCATCTGCGGGGATATTGCTTTCTTAGAATAAAAGAGGAAGAGATTAGAAAATTTTTCTACAGAAAACACACCTCACTTTGTATCACAAACTTTTGTAGCTAACCGTAAGGCCCTAAAGGTACTGAGCCGATACATCTAAAGTCACTCAAAAAGATTCGTTTTTCCTTCCTCGAGCGGTTGCCTCTTAGACATTAAGGTCACACTTCGAAGTTAATATAATCACTCTTTATTTGATTCCCTTCCCAGGCACCTAAAAAAGAAATATGGACAACTTACCTCAGCTATAACCGCTTTTAAGTTTATCCAAACATAAAACTCAACGAAACAGTTTACCATTGGTTTCGCTTCACGATGTGATTTCAATCGAATAGATTCAAACTTCTGTGAAATAATACATGACATCCTACTAATAATTCTCACTGTTACATAATTCTTAAGTCATATTACCATTAAGACTAAAAGAAGCTGTGCTGATTCAAATCTGATGCCTAAATTTACGTTTGTACAGAGTGTGTACTCAAAACTATCATTTTGGTTTTTTCAAAAAGACTTTGGATGTATAACTTGAATTCAGTGAAATATTTGTAGCTAAAGCATTACATTTTCAAACCTTTCAGTTTCATACTCAAAAACTATTCCTTTTTTTATTATTTGGACAGTTAATTACTTTTAGTAGTCTTCATGCATAAAGTGTTACTTAAACCTAAAAACACCAATCTCTGGTTGGTCACTGCATGATATATCTTCACTTGTTATTTGATATAAAGTGAGTGAGAGTGAGAGAGTTTTTAAATGCCAAGTTTTCATGAAACATACAGAAGTTTATTTTATTATTTAAACACAAACATCGGTACAAGGAAGCATCAAATACATATGCGCTACATAATAACAGTAAGGCCAATAGTAGTTGTCATTGGTTTGTGTGGCGGGTGGGATGCTGCCCATACAGTCGAACCGAATCAGGTGGTTTTCTTAGGGGACCACTCCCCGAGTCTTTGACCTAAAAGTCGAATCTACAAGGTAGTGGAGCAGCGTACGGAGATACAGTCTTATGGTAGCCGGTCACTAACGAGTGATCCATACACCCTTTGTTCCCTCAGGATACTGGAGCCGATGTCCGTGTTCACCGGCCCGGTTGAAGCGTCGGACATTCGCTTTTCGTCCCCTCAATTTCGTAAACAACAATTCTGCTACGAAAAGGCAGTGAGTAAGACTTTCCGGGCAGAGGCTATATTCGCGTGGCCATGTGAGAGTATTTCGTGAGAGAGAGAGAGCGGACTCTCGCCACTGTTGGCCGTACCGGGGCATTTGGGGCAGCAAAGTGAATAAAAGTTGGTCGTTACATCCGTATTATTATTATTACTATATGGTATTGTTAATAATAATTGGTTTTTAAAAAATGTTTCAGGTTACACCTATTCATCCAGTATTCCCTAATCGAAAATCTACTGTCAATTTTAAAATGGGAAATATTTCATCACAAGTAAATGGTCAACAAACATTAACATCATCCGATCATTCTATGTCTACACATCATAAGAATAAATTAGTAAGTGACATAATTTCAACTGTCAAACTTATTCTTATTAAATTTTTACTTATTACATAATATTATGTAAAATCAAGTCAATAAAAGGTGTATTGTTTACTTGTAATATATATTCTAGTGACAACGGTAAAAAACTAATGATGGATTGGTTGAGGTTAGACATTAATACCGTTGGATATCGGCTCAGTGGTCTAGAGGTTAAGTGCTCTGGCGCGAGACTGGTAGGTACTGGGTTCGAATCCTGCGAGGCGGGATCGTGGCTGCGCACTGCTGAGGAGTTACATAATAGGACGAAACGACCCTCCAGTGCTTTCAGGTTTTTCAAGGTGGTCTAGCTTCAATTGACTCATGATCTTAACTATGTAAAAACTAATGACTTGGTTTAATAATAATGATAATTATTATATATATCGGTAGTGATATTTATAATGCGCGTATTAGTGACGATATTTCCGGAGATATGGTCAAAAGTTGTAACCAGTGAGGTTTAATCAGCCCAGTTGTCTAGAAGTTAAGCGTTCACTTACGAGGTTCTAGGTTTGATCGCGTGTGTTAGGGTCATGGATTTCCACTGCTGGCAAATTCCATTCTTGGAGAACGAGCTGTCTAGTGCTTCCAGGTTTTCAGTGGTTGTTTAAACTAGGTTTCGGTTCCTCGTGATCTCAATCTATTTAGTTATTTATTTAAACACACAAATATTGGTACAAAGTGGCACCAGATATATATGTGCCACACAAAAAATTGTCATTTTATTTGTGTGAGGGTTATGATACTGCCCGGGTGCCCAGACCGAAGCAGGTTATTTTCTTAAGGGGCTACACTCGGAGCCTTCGACCTAAAGGTCTGATCCACAAGGCAGTTGAGCATCGTGAGGAGATACAGTCCCATGGTAGCCGGTGACCAACAATTGGTTCATACGCCATTTGTGCCCTCAGTATCCTGGAGTCCATGTGCACCATTGGTTTGGAATGAGGGTTTTCCAACTCCTCTAGGTCGACCCTCTGTGTTTACGAACCCGGTTAAAGTGCCGGACATTCGCTTTTTGTTCTCTCGGTTTCGTAAACAAAACCCCAGCCACGAGAAGGCTGTGATCTCAATAAAATTCAACGATCTACACAGTCCTCATGCTGACATACACTACCTATTTACTTGACTTCGCCTGTTAACCTTGATGGAGCATGGGCCGTCCTGGGTTATCCTTTTTAGTTGTCAAGTGATATTCGTTCTTTTGATGTCTGCCTTCGATTCTCGGCGCAATGTGTTCTTTGGTCCTCTTCTTCTTTTTGCCTTGAGGACCCAAAGTTATGGCTTACATAGTGAACCAGCTGGACGATTTTCTCACTGTATGTCCTATCCATTTCCAATGTCTGTTCCCAATTCCCTCTCCAGTTAGAATCTGGTTTATTCTCTGCCAAAGTGGGTCTTTGCTGATAGCGTTTGAGTAATGGATATGAAAATCTTACACACACTACTGTTCATAAATACCTGTAGTTTTTTGATGATTAAAGTAGTTCTCCAAGTTTCAACTTCTCACAGTAGAACTGTCTTGACGTTCGCACTGGAAATTATGGCTTGGATGTCTGACAGTTGTTTTGAATTCCATATGTTCTTCAGTTGTAGGAATCCTTTCCTTGCTTCTCCAATGCGTGACCCCACTCTGATATATATAAGTCGTGGTAAATAAGAGTCTTTCCATAGTACAAATAACCGACGATAATCCCCTAAGAATTGCTTAATATAATATTATTTTGATGGTACAGAAAGAGAGTTTTAGTAAGGAGATCAAACTGGCATATACTCGTTTATGTGTAATTAACAAAACAGAAAAGCGTCAACTCTCAACGAAGGAGTCAAGTATAAAATTTATGTATTGTAACTGTATTATTAAATAAGTAACTAGAATTTATTCCCCTTCTTTGACAGGTACATATGCGCCACACTATTTGTGTGTGTGGGCTGTGATACTACCCGGGTGCCCAAACCGAAGCATCAGGGTTAAGTATTCAGACCAACTGCACTTCGTTTAGAAATAATTCATTTAGATGTTGAGTATGTTTCTGTCTTCCTGTATTATATCCTTATATTCAACCTTTCTTTTATATATTACTACCACTAAATTAACTACTTCTATGAATTCTGTGTTGATCTTGTTGTGCTAATGAGGTATGACAACTTGGACCGATGCATATTTATGCCTGGTCCTACGTTGTAGCTGACTAACTGACTGTATCCGATCAACGGACATTGTTTGTAAGTTGTATATCTATCGAAATTCTTTTCAGGTAATTTAATTCATTTCGAATTACAATACATAAATTCCCGTCAATCCTGACAAAATTTTCTTTTCTTTAATGTTGGATTCTTATTAAAGGTGATTACTCATGGCGTAGATCAAATGCCTTCTTCTCATGTATTACAATGTTTTAATTTGTCTACTACATCTACCAATCAACAAATTGAACATGATCAAATTCCATTCCAATCATCATTTTCTACAATGAAGAAAGTGGAAGCTGGTAAAAAATCTGGATCCTACACAAAACGACTTACAAGACGTTTTCGTTGTGAAAATATGATATTAAATCGTTCATATATGGTAATTTAACTGCTGTTAAAGTTTTATTGTATGTAATGATATATTTATTCTCTCGATTATTTTCTCCACAATTATTAGCTATTATATTTGTACTTTGACCTTCGATCTACATGTCTAATTCACAGGACATCTTAGCAACTTTAGGAGATCCAGTTTATTAGTAGTCAATGACCTAAATAGGTTCATATACCATTCGATCCGTCCAAGTTGTAGAGCTCATCTGCACTATTGGTTTGAAATGAGGACTTTCCAAATCTTCTATAAGGTTTCTCTATATTCGTGAAGTCAGTATAAGCCCCGGATATTCGCTTTTATTCAACTTATCTTCGTAAACTACACCACTTCGTATAAATAGTGGGTAGGAGTTCGCTATCTAAAGCTTTAAACGCATGACTATATAAAACCATTTTGAGAAGGAGCGAACGCTTTCAGTCACTGACCCCACTCTGGCATTTGGGTGTATTTCCTCACTCAATCCTCTATATTAGTTGCAGATTACACTTTGGTGGTGTTTGCAGAGCAGTGTAATGGGTACTTGCTATGTTTGAAGAGATTACGAGTTCACCTAAATCGGCTAACAGAACAAAGACTCAGCGACACAATGACAAAATAAACTAACTATTTCGATGTGTTCTAGCCCCGTTAACTTTAGGGAGAAGTCCAGGTTCGAAAGCAGCCAGAATCAAGAAAGACAACAAACACAACTCTAGCGTATATATATACAGCATAAAAATGTCCCTCCGAAACGTCATTAAAGGCATATTAAAAGAGACAACGAACCATTAAAATTTAGGGTCCTTCCAAGTGAGAAATACAATCTGAAAGTAAGAATGGGCGCATTTGGTGCGAGAACGAGAAATTCAAATTTCTGAAATAAAATTACAAAAACAAGATGTTTACTGAGTTCTAGAGATCTAGCACCCCCAACAGTACTGTGCTTCAGTTTCACTATAATGTTGAGGTATATCCTGTTGTATTATTGTTTGCTCTATCATATTTTACATGTCACTTAATCATTCAATCAAAATATCCGAAAACCAGATAAATGGTAAAAACTACCTTTTTATTGTTATCAAGTATCATAGATGAAAAATAGGTGCTAAAAGTAAGGTTCGATTATGATCATGATCTTGAGTATTGCCAGTGGCATAAGAATGCTTGTTACTTCCCATCTACTTATATCGTGGAAGGAATTTCTTTTTGAGGTGTCTGTAAAGGAAATTGTGTTAAGGGTGGTATGACAACCTGAGAGTGTAACCACATAGCCCAAAGAAAAAATGCTTGAGATCAGTTACACACGGCTTTTTCGTAATTAGTTTTATATGTATTTGCTCAGTATTTTTAAGGCTTTATCGCCAGTCACAGAAATATATAGGGCAAGGTGATGTGTGCTAATTTCATGACTGATCTTTTTTAACCGCTACTTCCGTTGTGGTTAGGTAGCATCTATATATTTGCTGTGGGAAACGCCTTCTTGGCGTCACACTCCTGTACAATCGATAGTACTACTCCGCCCTCGAGCCTAAATCTCCTACGTTAGTTCTTATAACTCTCAAACCAACCTGTCTAACATAGTACGACCTTAAGAAACAGATAGTCCAGACATTATATCATCGTTCGGTCGTCATGATATGCAAACCCGACCATAACGTCAAGGTAGCAGTTACGGTTGAGTTCTGTATTAATAGTGATGATAGTAAATTGATGATAAAATTAAAAATAAGTGTTGTCCAACTTAATAATGCCATTGAAGAATGGTAACTTAAGAAGTAGTAAAATTTTACAATGAGTCTAGTTATTTTTGGTGCTATTCGTCATCGATTGGTTTCAGTCGGAGTATTACTGGAAACCGAGGAGTACTAAAAAGGCGTCTCATTTTAGTTTGAAACTCTTAAATCGTGTCTATTCATGTTATTCCTCCAAGAATTGAATCTAATCCGTTCAAATGTCTTGTACTCCTTGGTTTTCAATGTTACCTCCAAGTAAGCGCAGCTCTAGACGAGTACTATGTACAAATTAAAGTTATCTTTACTAAACTATATAGTCCAAACTTAACACACACTATCTTGTTATACTGTGCGTATTGCCTCGATATAACCCCATTGCACAAGCAAGTGACTATCAGGACTCAGTAGCTGAGTGGATAACGGGATGGCGTTTGAAGCGAAAGGTACTGGGTTCGAGTCCCAGCGTGAACATCAACTCTGAGATGCAAGTACATCGAGCTGACGAGTCCCGAATAGGACGAAACACGCGTCAAACTGGATTCTACTGCTAAACACTATCCATCTTTGCTTACTATCTGGTTAGTCAAAAACAGTAATGGTAATAATTATCTAATGTAAATCATTTTTTTCAATAATCATTCATTTTTGTTTTCATTTATTAGACATTATATGAAGCTGGAGATATTAAAGGGACATTGTTTAAAATTTGTGAACAATCCGATTACAAAACATTTGGACAATTATTTATTCCAAGGTAAGTCTTTCCGTCACTCATTTTTGTTGCCTTCACTCGTAGATTTTACATTTTGATGTTTTGTTCTTTGAGCTGGATAGTTTGATCGTTCAGTGCTTCCAGCTTTTCCCTGGTGGTCTAGCTTCAATTGACTCACACTTTGAACTAAGAAAATACTAAATCTCCACAAAACCCCCTCCTGATAATAATAATCATATGCACCCTAGTGACTGACTTCGAGAGGTAAATCCAGGAGTTCTAGTGAGAAGCAGTGACCAGTGGAGTTCAAACCAGGTCTGTTGCTAGATAAGAACTCACTGAAGACAATTGGTGAACGGTTGCTTAACTTCGTGAATTGGTTTGGGTTAAACATAAACACCATCGGATGCCGGCTCAGTGGTCTATCGGTTAAGTGCTCTGGCGCGAGACCGGTAGGTCCTGGGTTCGAATCTCGCAAGGCGAAGTCGTGGATGCGCACTGCTGAAAAGTCCCACAATAGGACGAAATGGCCGTCCAGTGCTTCCGAGTCTTCCCTGGTGGTTTAGTTTCAATTGACTCACGATTTCAACTATGAAAAATACTTTAATCAATTCAGTAACTTGTATGTATACACAACTTGCGTATATTATCAGTCAATTTCAACCCCAAAACTACTTACACAGTTTCTATCGTTTTACTTATAGCGAAGTTTTCAAGTGATTTGGAATATCTATGATTAATTGAAGTCTAAGATTATCAGACAGTGACCTTACTAGTTTGTGATTTGTGTCACATTCATAGGTGCGTACTTCCTAGTTAGAATCAACGAAATAATTATTGCATATCATCAAAAAATCTGTAAGTAATATGACTTCATGCATAGGACATAAATACATTTATTCATTGTTCTTCTATAAATCTTAAAAGTTATCTGTCTATAGACATCCTGATAGGTCTTGCTGTTTAAACGCTATACTCGGATCCTAATCTAGTCTCGTAACCCCCAAGCTAAATCTACAAAGCGACTTGAACACGAGAGAAAAGGCGCAAAATATGCGAAAATCACTTTACTTCAAAGGTACAGAAAATATGGGGTTTTTATAGTATTTTAGAAGTCCTTAAGTTTTCCTGAAAATTCTAAAATACTACTAAACATAGTAGCAGTAAATTAATTAGCCAATCAGAAACTCTACATATGACTTTCCATTTTCACGATGTTTCCAGCAAAACCCCTAGTCAACGCTGATTGGATAAAATGCTTCTTAATGTTTCCTGCGCTTGTCGTGTCTATTGCGAGGAATTTTATGGATCATCCCAACACATCCAAGGGATTAATATTAGTGTTTGATCAATGCAAGAAGATGGTTGACCTGTGTTATATTTTATTTATTTAAATAGTTATTATTAAATTTATGTGTGGGCTGAGGTATTCTCCAAGTCTCCCAGCGGAAGCAGGTAGTTTTTTTAAAGGGCCACTCACCGACCCTTTGACTTAGAAGTCTAATCGTCAAAGCAGTGAAGTGACATTAGGAGATCCCATCCCATTGGAACCGGTAAGAAAAAATAGCTTCATACGTCATTTGTACTCTCAGGATCTTGGAGTCCATATGGATCATTGTTTTGAAATCAAAGTATTTTAACTCCTCTAGGTGGAATTCTCCCACCCAAGAACCCGCTGTAAACGCCGGAAATTCGCATTTTGTTCTCAATTTCGTAGGCAGCACTCCCGTCACGGAGAGGCATTATGTAGGACTTCCCTGACAGTGGCTATTTGTGCGAAGCCATACGAGAGCATTTAGAGAGGGATAGTGGACTCTCCTTGTTGGAATATTCGGTATCCTTCAACTTTGTGAATCAATAATATTTGCAATTGTTCAGTCAATCATAAGTAGCTTATTATCAGGTATATAAATGTATCGACTCAAATTGCTATACAGCGTGTCCTAGAAGTGGCAATACTATCAGTAGTAGTATCAGTAGTATTAGAAAACACTAACCATGGAGAATAGGATTTTAGGAGGAAGACTAGATTCTCAGAATAAAAAATATAAAGTAATCTTGAAATTGAAAATCTACGGGAATTCGGAGAGGGAAAGCATCTGAGTCACTATGACCGATTCCGAGATGTGTCACAGTTTCCAACTACTGGGGAGTGTAATCGCAAGGACACCAACCAGGTATTCTGCATTTACCTACACGTTTCAGACCAACAATCACTGGCTTAATGGACTAATACCATATCTTGGTTTGGCTACCCCTAGTTTTCTTTGAACCCACCCCTACACGAGCCATCATTGCGCATCGAGCTAGTCGGGGAATTAGCATACGTAATGCATGTGCTAACCGTCTCAATCGATGATGAGCCACTACCTCGTCAATCGATTTGCCATACTTACTCTAGTATTCTGAGCTTAAGCTCGGAATTGTTAACTTAATCTCAAAATATACGACTAGTGGTTCGAAGACACCTGTAATCAAGTACTATTAGAAATTTACGAATATTTTTTTTATTTTTAAAGCACTCCTTTCATACCTATAAAGTAGGAAGGGATCGAATCGCTACATAATAAACTCGTTTCTTAGTTTATAGACGGATATCTCATCTATGCCACAACTTGACAAAAGCCAAGTGGGATTTTTGGAATTCATCCCTAATGTTCTATATGACTGACTGATTTGAAGTTTCTACTCTATGGTCTGTATCAAGTGAACATGTTTATATTATATTAAATAATTCAAGTTAACTGACTGTTCGGACTGTTGAGTATTAACTTACTTTTCCGCTTTATTTTAAACCACATTCAACACAACACATGCTTACTTACATTTCTTTTAGTCGTAGGAAAAATCTGAGTAAAATTGGTGAAGGATGCTTTGGTGAAGTGTTTCGTTGTCCAGATGAATCCAATCCAACTGAATATGTTGTCATTAAATTAATTCCAATTGAAGGTAATATTAAATTCAATGGAGAATCACAAAAATCTTTTAGTGAAGTACTTTCAGAGGTTATTGTTTCCAAGTGAGTAATTAAATGTTGCTCCTTTTAATGGTTGAATAATACGTTAAGTTAAATATTTTGAAGTGTGTATAATATTCCAGTTTATATCAACGACAAAAGCCCCCAAATGCCCTGGTACGGCCGAGAGTGGGGAGCGTCCGCTCTCCCTCTCGAAATACTCTCACATGGCCAGCGAATATATAGCCTCTGTCAGGAAGTCCTACTCACTGCCTTCTCGTGGCATTACTGTCGTTTACGAAATTGAGAGGAAGAAAAGCGAATGTCCGGCGCTTTAACCGGGTTGGTGGACACGGAGGGTCCACCTAGGGGAGTTGGAAAATCCTGATTCCAAACCAATGGTTTTCACATGGGTTTCAGTATCTTCAGGCAACAAATGGCGTATGAATCAATCGTTGGTCACTGGCTACCATGGGACTGCATCTCCTTACGATGCTCCACTGCCTTGTGGATCAGACCTTTAGGTCAAAGGCTTGGGGTTGTGGCTCCTTAAGAAAACCACCTGTTTCAGTTTGGACACCCGTGCACTAAAACAGCCCTCACACAAATCAAATGAGATTTGTGAGGCGCATATGTATCTGGTGCTTCCTTGTACCAATATTTATGTGTTTAAATAAATAAATATAGAAAGAAAAGTTTATCGTTGGCTATCAAGATCAACGAATGGATTTGCCACAACTTGGGATATACCAAATCATCTAATAATTCAACCGTTCAATCGAGAATCGAATATCAGTAATCAAATCTTGTATTGATCTCAATTCTACCGAGGATATCTGCATTATTTTCATTCTTCATCACCTGTGTTGTTGGTATTTTGTCCGAAGTCCGGTTCCGATTTTGATATACAAATTTCCTATACCCAAGTCCATTAGAAATTCAAGCCACATTGGCCTATGTCTCGTTTCACAGAAAAAGAAGTTGTATCTTAAACAGTAGCATTCACTTATCATTTAGCCGGATATCTAATTGGTCAGCAGTTTTCTTGATTATAAATCCAAAGGCAATTGCCAAATTTTGTTGATGCACTTTGTGACACTAAAACTGGCAAAATAGTATTTAATTTCTAGTTACACTTGTAGGTGTCTTAACTATCTTCGATTTCTTAAAAACTACCATTAAGGTTTCTCAGATCATTTAATAGAAGAAATAACTCTTGAGTTTACTGACTACACAATCCTGCGTCGGTTCATCGTTGTAAGCTTGACGATATTCCTTGCATATGTTTTAAAACTACATCTGGTAATACATAATTGAGACATCCTGTACGATTCCCTTTCTATGAGTTGCACATACGAAGTCGATTAAAATGAAGGCTTATAGCTCTAGAAACTAATAAGGGATGAATTGTGCTTGTTTGTTCTTCCATCAAACAACAGAACCCTGAACTACTCTCATGAACAATCCAACGCTCATAAACCAGTTTCTCAACTTATCTTTTCGAAATAAGCAGATGTACTGTAAAAACTCACTATTTATTAATTAAAATATAAGTTCCCTGTTATATGTTATATATATGATTGATTGACTGAATGGTAAGGGATGGAGAATGATGCATCGACTTTATTTATTTAATTAAACACATAAATATTGGTACAAGGAAGCATCAAATACATATGCGCCACACAAATCTCATTTGATTTGTGTGAGGGTCAGGATACTACCCGGGTGCCCAAACTGAAGCAGGTGGTTTTCTTAGGGGGTCATACCCGGAGCCTTCGACCTAAAGGTCTAACCCACAAGGTAGTGGAGCATCGTGAGAAGATACAGTCCTATGGTAGCTGGTGACCAACGATTAATTCATAAGCCATTTGTTCCCTCAGGATACTGGAACCCATGTGCACCATTGGTTTGGAATTGTGGTTTTCCAACTCCCCTAGGTGGATTTCTGTGTCCACCAACCCGGTTAAAGCGCCAGGCGTTCGCTTTTCGTCCTCTCAATTTCGTAAACAACAGTAATGCCACGAGAAGGCAGTGAGTAGGAATTCCCTGACAGATGCTATTTACACGTGGTAATGTGAGAGCATTTGGAGAGGGAGAGCGGACTCTCCCCACTCTCGGCCATACTAGGGCATTTGGGGGCTTGCTCAACCCCGTCCACGGGTTGGCCTCGTATTACATGATGCGTCGAAGCACAATTTCATACCTTTAAAATTTTAATTCCCACTGACTACACATTCATTAACTATTTCTTTACAGAGAACTAACTGCTCTTGGTATGGGTCTTAAAAATAATACATGTGGATTTGTAGAATTGAAAAAGTATGTTTACATTCTTTTCTCTATACAGATTATGCTATGTATTGGGACTCAAATATTTTTTACTATCTCCTCCTCATCACCATTCCAACCAAATTATAGTCTAGATTAAATTAATCAATTTATTCCATCATTACTAAGTGGCCAATTTACACAATATTCTGTCGGCTTCTTCCATGGTTCAATAGTGAAATACAACAATACCTATCTCTTGATGATATTCATTAGTATCACTAAATAGATGATTAATTATACTCAATTAACATTTATTATGTAAACCATAACTCAATGTAAGATAACTCTTAGTAGTATTATCCACCACCTACAACTTCACCAAGAATCGAAAACATACAGTTCTTAGGACAAACATATAAAGTAGGTGACTGAATACAGTTGACAGGAAACCTTTGTTGGTTCTATTTTTTGTGTTGGTTAGGATTAGTCAGCAAAACGTACCTACAGTTTTGAGGTAACGAATACTCCATCAACCTAGTGCTAACTCCTTAGTGATGTTTATTTTCTCTCTCTCTCTCTCTCTCTCTCTATATATATATATATATATATATATATATATATATATATTTGTTTCAGAGTTCATCTTATCCAAGGTTCATTTCCTGCATATTTGAAAAAAGCATGGGATAAATATGACAAAGAGAAAAAATCAGAAAACGATAATCCAAGTAAGCTATATATATATATATATATATATAATCATTCTTTTGAAAGGTAAAATAACTTACTCCAATCTGAGCCGCCTTGAGTGCCTTCATGATGTCAGCCTGGTTGTTAAAAATCTGATCTACAACTCTTCATTAAGAACAGTTTTACTCTATGCTCATGAAACCTTGTCTCTTTGAGTTGATGGTGTTAGATAACTCTGTCTTCGATCATTGTTATCACCGAAGGTTCTCTGACATTCAGTTGTAATACCATGTGAGTAACGCAGAAGTTCGGCAGTCTGTAGTTGGGCATAGTGATGTTGATCAAATTAGTGTTAACATCTTGAAAAACCGACTTCGGTGGCTTGTTCTTCTCAGTAGATTCCACGTTGTGCATTATTTACTCATGCTGGGACTGGTTATAAAAAAGCGAACAGGTGGTCAGTTAGCAACATAGTCCAGGGATATCAATGAGAGATGTCTAAGATTGCGAGCTCTCGGGTTGGAGACCTAAAGATAGTGCTATATAGTGCTCTGAGACGTTATCAGATATGGCTCAGAATAGAAGTCAACAGTGATTATGCTGGAATTATTTTGTTATTCACTTGATTAATTTCATCTGACCACACTGACATGATATGTTAAATTGAGCTGATGTATATACATAATGCCAAGCTCTATGTTGATTATGATTGACTACGTGATTTTGTTAATAACGACAATATTTGGCAAATGATTAGATATTACATCTTATGGAAACATTAACCTATTAGTATTGTTTGTTTGAATCTTCCCATTTATGTTTTAGGACTGCAACTGAGATGAGATTGATGCACGTATAAGGAAAGCCAGATCGGCTTATGCCAATCTGGGCCATCTTTGGCGCCTTCGTGATGTTAGTCTGGCTGTAAAAAGTCGGATTTACAACGCGTCGGTGAGAGCAGTTTTACTCTATGCTTGTGAAACCTGGTCTCTCCGAGTTGAGGATGTTAGACGTCTCTCTGTGTTCGATCATCGTTGTCTCCGAAGGATTGCTGACATCCAGTGGCAACACCATGTTAGTAATGCAGAGGTTCGGCATCGTGTGTTCGGGCACAGAGACGATAATTCAATTGGTGTCACCATCTTGAAACACCGACTTCGGTGGCTTGGACATGTTTTACGAATGTCGTCCCAGAGACTTCCACGTCGTGCATTATTTGCCGACCCTGGGACTGGTTGGAAAAAGCGGATAGGTGGTCAGTGTATGACATGGTGTCGTGGTATGAAAGAAAGCTGCAAAGGGCTAGCTTCTGTTGGTCCTTCACGACTCCTTGGTTGGGGTCCGAGAGATGGTGCAACACAGTGGCTAGAGACGTTATCAGATATGGCTGAGAATAGAAGCCAGTGGCGATCCTGCTGCAACCTTCTTTTACTTTCTACATAAAGAGTGGTTCTAACTTTCTTAACTGAAAGAGTCTTCTGGTTGTACATTTTAGTCCGCGTTATCTTTTCATCCTTTCTCTTCCTACTTTCATTATTTTGTGTGGCGCATATGTACCTGGTGCTCTTTTGTACCAATATATATGTGTTTAAATAAATAAATAAATAAACTGCAACTGGTCGGTCTCTAAATGGCATATGTGCATACTGTGTCTATTGCCTCGATATAGCCTTATTTCAAAAGCATTATAAGCAAAGACAGATAATGGCTAGCAGTGGGATCCAGTTTGACGCACGTTTCGTCCTATTTGGTACTCGTCAGGGAAGACTCAAACAAACAATACCAAGTGAATTTAAACTTCACCCCATTGCACAAGCAAGTGGCTATCAGGACTCAGTTGCTGAGTGGATAACGCAATGGCGTTCGAAGCGAAGGGTACTGGGTTCGAATCCCAGAGTGAAAATCAACAAGTCTGAGATTCAGGTAAATCCTGCTGACGAATCCTAAATAGGACGAAACGCGAGTACTGGATTCTACTGCTAGCCACTATCCATCTTTGCTTACTAATAATACAATTAACGTGACCGTGCATCATCCTTTTAGATTCCTAATAGTAATAGAATTAAATTCATTCAATTATTTGTCATACTAAACAAAAGCTTAATAATTCCTACCTCTCTCTTTTCTTTTAGGTATCTTTCCTAAAACTCAATTATGGGTTGCTTTAGAATCAGCATTTTGTGGTGTTACTCTAGAAAATAATGTTGTAAGTTAATTCAATTTTTAAAATGATTTTTTCATTATCCCGGGTGTTGATATTTCTTTTATTGTTGTCTTTCATTTGTTCAGTCCTAGTTGGCATTTGTGAATCCTATGTCGATTATCTCGGTATAACCATTATAACACAAGTTTATGTAGAATATTTTCATCGTTGAAATCATGAGTCAATTAAAGCTAGACCACCATGGAAAACCTGAAAGCACTGGACGGCCGTTTCGTCCCAATTATGCGACTTCTCATCAGTGCGCATCCACGATCCTGCACTCGCGAGATTCGAACCCAGTACCTACCAGCTTCGCGCCGAAGCACTTAACCGATAGACCGCTGAGTCGGCATACAACGGTGTTAATTTCTAAGGTCAACTGATCCACGAAGTTGAGCAACCGTTCACCATTTGTCTTCAATGAGTTGATATTTCTACAACAGACTTGGTTGAACTTCACTGGTCACTGCTTCCCACTAGAACTCAAGGAAAAATTCCTTACAGTCAGTCACTAGTGAGCATATGATTATACATCAGATGGGGTTTTTGTAGATATTTCAGTATTTTCATAGTTAAAATCACGAATCAATTGGAACTAGACCACCATGGAAAACCTGGAAGCACTGGACGGCCGTTTCGTCCTATTATGGGACTCTTCAGCAGCGCGCATTCACGATCCCGCACCCGCGAGATTCGAACCCAGGTTTTCCATGGTGGTCTAGCTTCAAATGACTCATGATTTCAACTATGAAATTTCTGAAATATCCACAAAAACCCTTTCTTATGTAGAATAGATGAAATATTGGTGACTGTGGAATCCAGGACATGCGTTTCTTCCTATTTGGAACTTGTCTTTAAATAAATGTACATACATCTCAAGCTTGATGTAGACTTGGTTGTTTGATAGAAATTTTTTATTTCTATACATTTTCTAAATGCATTTACAATTCTTTTGTCATCTTGAAGCGATAAAGTAAAACTCCGGTATCTGATGTTCACTTTATTTGAAGTTGTTATAATTATTTAGCTAATAAACAACCCACCTATTCATATTGCTTAGTATTCTTATACGATGACACTCGACAAGATCCCAAAATCAGAACACGTTGAACAGGAACGAAATTGTATTCAAAATAACAAGAGTAGATGAACAGCAATCAATGGTTAGAAGAACGTTCATATATTTATAATATATACATAAGAAACTTCTAGATACTTCCTCCAATAATCTGCCAGAGCTGATTGATTTAGAATTAGCCAATCAGCGTGCGCCGTCACGATCATGCACATAACATGCCTTAATTCGGTTTATTTACCACTAATAGAAGTTATGAGATTGAACTTTGGTATTAATACCTATTTATTATTATTATTATTATTATTATTATTATTTCCCTTTCCTTCACTAGCCAATTTGCCCATGTGCACGTTTATCTATTCTATTACAAATTGGTATATCACTAGCTGTTGCTGAATTAGAATTAAAATTTGAACATAGAGATTTACATTGGGGTAATGTTTTAATTAGTCATTCATCATCTTCCAACTCTTCTTCTTCTACTTCATCATCAACATCATCATCATCATCAATATTGAATAATGACAATCCTTGTCAATATTGTTGTACATTATATGATAAAGAGAATGATAAATCATATGTAAAATTTCGTTTAGATGGATATGAATGGAATATTCCAAAATTTGGTTACATTGTTCATTTAATAGATTTTACAATGTCTCGTTTAGAACAAGGTGAATTTCTCTTTTTTTCCTATGATTTGAATTGTGGTGTGGCAACTCGAACTGATGTACGTACGTATGAACTTCTACGTTGTGACTGACTGTTCACATTTTTCGATAGTTAAATATTAATTATAAGCAAAGATGGATGATAGCTAGCAATGGAATTCAGGACACACATTTCATCATATTTTGAACTCGCCAACTGAATGTGCCTGTATCCCAGAGTTGCTGTTCACTCCGGGACTCGAACCTGGTATCGTTCGCTTTTAAAGACCATCTATATTTGCTTATAATTCTTGTGATTTAACTCAAGGTCGAGATAATTCGCACAGGACGCACATATGCTAATAAGAGACTGATCAATTGCAGTCCTAAACATCAATGGGAAGATTTAAACAAATGATACAAAATGAATTTAAATATTCATGTTGGTTTTTTTTTAAAAATTGAACGTATATTGTTATTTTGATAGTTTAAATCACGAATTGATCTTGGCTAGACTACCAGTGAAAATCTTGAAGCATTCGAGAAGTGTTTCATTCTAATGTAAAACTTCTCAATAGTAGGTATTCAAAATAAGCATATAGTTATTATACTAAGGTTAGTTTATGAAACAAACTTGAACAATTCACTAACCTTTACAGACCTTCCTACAGCGATCATAAGTAGGTGCTCACTAGTGATTAATTTTTAAAGGTAATCCTTTCCTCATTTATTTATTTGAACATATAAATATTGGTACAAAGTAGCATCAAATGCACATGCGCCACACAAGTCACTTGACTTATGTGTGAGCTATGACACTTCCCGAACGCCGAAACAAACTAGGTGCTTTTCTTAGAGGTTCACACCCCGAGCCTTCAACCTAAAGGTTTAATCCACAAGGCAGTAGAGCGTCGTAAAGAGGTGCAGTCTCATTTTAGTCGGTGATCAACAATTGGTTCGTACGCCATTTGTTTCCTTAGGATCCTGGAGTCCATGTGCACCATTGGTTTGGAATCAGGGATTTCCAACTCCCTTCGGTGAATTTTCCGTGTTCACCAACCCAGTTAAAGTGCCGAACATTCGCTTTTTATCCTCTCAATTTCATAAACAACACCCTAGCCGCTAGAAGGTAGTGAGTAGGACTTCTCTGCAAGTGGTTGTATATTCGTGTCCATGTTAGGCCATTTTATAGAGGGAAAACTGACTCCCCACACCTTCGAAAGTACCAGGGTATATTCTATTGAGAAGCCGTAACCAATGCAGTTCAACCGTGTTGAGTTTTTGTGTGTATGTCAGTTAACCGTTAATAGCCACATTATTGTGAATTGTTTGGAGTTAACCGCCTAAACTAGTGAACCTCAACTCGGTTATTTAAAGTTAGTTATTCGACATGAGACACCATGAGTTTTGTCGTGACATGCAGTGTCTAAGATTTGAGACCTAAATTAAAGCGGATATAATGTAGTATATGCTGATTATACAGACTGATGTAAACAGTAGGTATCAGGGAATCGAAGTAGGATTCTTACTGACAGAAGAAAATGAGGAGAAGGGAAAGAAATACAAAAGTAGTCGGAGTGGCAGCAGTAATTGAGGGACGGTCGAGTTTTTAACATTTAGTTCAAAGAAAATGAGCAAATAGTATATTCACTGTATTGTTTTCAAATTTCACAAATACAGTTTTTGATTTCTCTAACCAAGTCTTCATTACAATAGCAAAAATGGTTATGTATTCACCATGGCGACTGATTTTAAATTATATTCTCTGAGATAGTGGAAAGACTTTGGATTGCAAAATAGTTTATATTTAACAAATTTATGAACACTGGATCCTATATCTTTACCCTAACAGACATTCATATTCTCTAAACCTACTATACTGGCTAATATATTAATTCAGTTTATATATCAATTCATTATAGCGTGGTACATATTTCATACAATTATTTCACTCGGTAGAAGTTCACAACCTTCTCTCTTCACTTATTAGTTGAATCATTTGATTTTTTTGATCTTGGAGTTACTGTTTTAAATATCATCTTGGTAATTTTAGGTTATGTCTCCGACGTTAATTAATATCATTTACTGAGCTCACCAATCAAAATCATGATTATAACTTTACCTCGCGTCTGCTATTCCATCTATAGTCTAAAGCCCTTAGTCTTGATCAATGATATATTGTGATTAACACAATTAACTTTGAGCTAATGTAATCTTAACTCCTATTGGTTCGCCTATCCCCAACCTTAAACCCGAAAGAGAAGATTACAGTCAAGCTTTTATTATTATTGTATTCCAATCACCCAGAATCTATTTTGCGCTACATTTTAAGTATGGGAGCTAGTGAGTGCCACTACCGTGTTGTTCAAATAGAAGTTGATGAAAATTGGAGGACAGACTTGATAAATCTTCTTATTGAACAGTAGATTCAGTTTTCCAAGCTCCTTCTAATAACCCCAGGCTAAACCTACACAGCAACCTGAACACGAGAGTAGAAGCGCGAAATACTGAAAGAGCGTTTTACTCCAAGTTTCATTTACGTACAAAAAATCTAGGGTTTTTATAACATCTCAGATATCCTTGGGCTCCCGGAAAATTCTGGAACGCCACTAAACGTAGTAGCAGTATATAGGTAATCATCTTATTAGAAACGCATGTTGCTTTTCCCTTTCTGGATTTTTCTGACAAAACATCTGTTGAATGCTGATTAGATAAGATGTTTCTCAGCGTTTTCAGATCCTTTATTTTGGCTTTCTTCGAGGTATTTTCTGGATCTCTCCAACAAGACCTATGACTTCATAATTGTAAGTCGAATGCCTTAGTCGCTGAACCATTGCTATTTTAAACCGTTAAGTGTTCTCACTACGCATTGTACTAACCTGAAACCTCTTCACTCTGCTTCAATGGTTTTGATAACAAGATTCTTCATGCAAAAACAATTACACAAAACATGAATGTGTATACTAAATGACTGAATTACATCAATTTGTTCACTTTCTTTATGTTAACTTATCCTTCTGCTTGGTTGTTTGTCTTTCTTTTTGCTCATTACAACTTCCAGATGAAGGTCTAGTCTACGTTGATTTAAGCACTGATCCAACTTTATTTAAATCACAAGGTGATTATCAATTCGATATCTATCGTCATATGAAATCTGCAAATCAGTAAGTTTTTTGTTTCTTTGTCTTTAATCACTAATTTTAATATATCGCTTAGGGGTAGAGAACCACTGAAAGCAGAAACGGGTGTAGTATTAGGCTGCATGTTTCTGATGTATAAAATTTCCTTAACAGTCCTCCTCCATCAATCTGCAAGGAATCGAGCCTCAATTTTTCTCTTATTGAGGAGGTCATTGTAAAGTTTGTACATGGATTACTCACTGAGACTTGTCTGGTATAGACATTTCAAGTATTGATAAACTAGTTTGTTTTGAGAATTTCCTTTCTCTCTCTGCTAATAAGTCGTAGCTGTTATATCGACTGCCTGTATGCCCACGATATATAACAGTAACAAATCGAACCGTTATACACATGTACCAGGTTCTCAGTCAGTTGATCAGACGCAACATAGGACCTAGCACACGTGTACATCGATACAATGTGCTACACAGCATTAACATTGTCAGAGTAAATCCCAGAGTAGTAGAGGTAATGACAGTAATAATGACGTTTCGTCACTCAGTGTAAGTCACTTCTTCAGGGTATAAATAAATAACCAAATTAAAATTAATGCAAATTTAAATAGTATAAAGGAACAAAAAAGAAATATTAGGTGCGATCAATCAAAAAGCAGGTCTGATTAAATCAATGTCATATAATTTCAGTCAGTCAGTCAGTCAGCGGCAACATAGGACCAGGCACATTTATGCATCGGTCCAAGTTGCCATACCTCGTTAGCACAACAAGATGAACACCGGATTCATAGAAGTAATTAATTTAGTGGTGGTAGTATATAAAGAAAGGTTGTATATAAGGATATAGTATAGGAAGGAAAAAGTTATGAAGCAATTTTAATCTCAAGGTTTAAGGGAAAATAAAGAGTGTATACACCTACGCCATTGTGATCGATTCTGATCCATGTCACCTAGAGTCTCCAACCATTTATTACGATAGTCACGCGGACCCCAACCAGGTAGTCTGCATTTACCAACATGGCTCAGACTAGAAGTTAGTGACTTCAAAGACTGATGCCATGTTTTGGTTTGGCCGCCCCTAACTCTCTTCCAACCATCCCCTACACTAGCCAACATTGCCCGGCGTGGTAATCGGTATAATTTCGGTCAACATGATTCATAAGCGACATGTTTGTCAATTTGTGCATGTGTATCTGTGCACTGTTAAGGTTAAAAAATATGTGACCTTTATAATGATAAAGGATAGAGTTTAATTTGATTAATCGTACCAAATATTCTTGCATTGTTCTATTGTACTATTTAAACTTGCATTACTTTTAATTTGGTTATTTATTTATTCTCTGAAGAAGTGGCTTACACTAATTGACGAAACATTAGAAAATCTAAATTTTTTTTAAAATTTAACAAATTGAATATCTTGGATATTATTATTTTTTCTTTTTATTTAGTAATGATTGGAAAAAATTTACACCACAAACAAATATAATGTGGTTTCATTATTTAACAACAAAATTATACACGGATTCAGATAGATTATCAACATCCTCCTCCTCCTCCTCCTCCTCTTCATCCTCGTCATCATCATCACAATTACATAATGTATGTTGGAAACAATTAAAACATTTAGAATTAATAACACGTTCATTTAATAATTATAAATCTGCTTATCATTTAGTTACTAATTGTGATATATTTAAAAAATTTTCTAATTTATTTTAAAATTTCTTCATGTTAATTAGAAATATATGTATATACTACTCGTTTTTTTATAAAAAACAGTAGGTCCTGAGTTCGAATCTTACTAGGCGAGACCGTGGATGCACACTGTTGAGGAGTCCCACAATAGGATGAAACGGTCGTTCAGGTTTTCCCTGGTGGTCTAGCTTGAATTGACTCATGATTTCAACTATGAAAAGAACTATTGTTATATTCTCCAATCGTTAGTCCATAACTATAATATAGAGGTTGTGGAAATACTAGACGAATATTTTGTTCTAGTATAGAACTTCTTAACAGTATGCATATATTATCCTTCATATGGGATTCGAACTCAATATTCTCCATCTTATTCGTGAACGCTTAACCTTTAGACTATTAAGGCTGGTATTCAATGGTATTAATATTTAACTTTAACCAATCCATGGCAAAAACGATTATACAGTGCTTCCAGTTAGTCTAACATTTATTGATTCATGAGCTCTATCAAAAACCATATACTTGCGTTGAGAAAATCACTAGTGAGTAGAAAGTCTTCAATAGTTGATGAAATCGAAAATATTATAAACATAACTCATTTATAAGTATAGATACTGTTGTGTTTTGATGTCCTACATTTTATCACATGATTTGTTCACCAATCAAAATATGACATATCTAAGCACTATGCCAAACCAATGACCAGCCTAGCATTCTTACTGGTCCTTTATCTGCCTAGAACTTTCAGTCGTGTCCAGAACACCAATAACAGCTTCTGCTATGCGAGTCATTTATTTCAAGCATACTTGGTTTATATACCAGATAGACAGACCACATCCCACCATAAAATAGAAAATAACATTTATACAAGATCAAGTCAAAATGTGGCTATGAACGTGGGAGACAGTAATCAATAAACTGAGTATAATTTAAGAACAGTAATCCTTATAATAATAATAATCTATACGTCAAAATGAAGCTCATATTAAGTTGAATGTAGATATATACAATCTAATCACTCAATAGTTAAATAATAAGAATGTATACAGAATAATCGTCCGTTAATAGGTCCTGGGAGTTACCTGTACCTATGTCTTCACCAGGATATAACAAATACATGTACCTCAGAGAACTGAGCTACATATTCAACCAATAACGTGTATCTTTCCTTAGAAACTTAAACCTTATTTCAGCCGATAGAGTATATCCATCAGTATTTCTCACCTAACATATGGTTTTAAACTGGCATGTCTGATTATATTCTCTTTCTGAATAATTAGCTTGATTTTTCTTTTCGATTTAGTAGTAGCAAGAAAGTAATGGGAAAACATCTTCATTTCTTGGAACGTGTATAAGTGTATTAAATCAAATGGTTGACATAATCTTTTTTACCCCCCCCCTCAACTTCTGATTTCTATATCTGAAAGCGATGTGTGGTTGATGAGGTACCATGCTTTCATTTATAATTGGTTTATCGAAACTTATTCTGGATGTGCAATATATTCAATTGCTAATATTGTAGTGAACAGAACACTGGTTGGGACAATCGAATGTCTTTAAGCACAAACTACAGACTACCTCACTAAATTATGATAACCATACAGCAAACAGTTAATTTGCAAATTAACAACCAATTGTCTCAATCTTCACTGTTTCTTCTCTAAATCTATTGTTCATGTATTTTCCTACTAATTGCGTTTCATTTCAGTTCTTCCCTCATCGGTCTTCTGCCAAAATACATCCTATGTCTGACCTTCGCCATATATTACTTATATGGATATAAGTAGACCACACCACAATATGATTTAGTAAATTTAATACAACATAACTTTAAAAGTTAATAATATGATAATTAAATCAAAGAACTACCATTAAATAACATACTATCGGTACCTGTAACATGATGTTTAATAAAATGAATACTTGACTGACCAAGTTTGTGCTAAGATTTACGAGAAATAAATAAAATATCAAAAACATTTTTCAAATCAGTCGGTTAACTATAACGTAGGACTTGGTACATATATGCATCGGTCAAAGTTGCCACACCTCATTAGCACAACAAGATGAACACTGAATTCATCGAAGGAGTTACTTCAATGGTAGTAATATATAAAAGAAATTGTATTGTAAGGATTTAATACGGGAAGAAACAGTTAATTCGTAAAAAGAAAGGTATAATGTAATTCTGACCTCACGGTTTAAGAGAAAACAAAGAATGTATACACCTACGCAGTTGTGATCGATTCTGAGCCATATCACACAGTCTCCAACCACTGATTACGATAGTCACGCGAACGTCAACAAATTAATCTGCATCTACCAACGTGGCTCAGACCAGAAGTTAGTGAATTCAAGCACTGATGCCACGTTTTGGTTTGGCTACCCCTAACTTTATTCCAATCGTCTTCAACACTAGTCAGCATTGCGCGTCGTGGTAATCAGTGTTCATGTATATGTAACACGGTCCAGCCATCTCAAATATCTCCCCATACTATGACGGAACGGCCTTCCAGTTTTTCAATGGTGGTCTAGCTTAGATAAACTCATGAATTCAACTGTTAAAAAATGATAATTAACATTTAGAAAATTTGTACTTACGACTCAAATCGAAATAAATAATCAATAAACAAGATGCTTCAGTCTGACCATTCGATCATCCGTAAAGATACCTTAGAGATTTTGACAGGAGTATGAAAAAACTACCGAACCTTTGTGTATAACCACTGATACCAGGATATTTCCATTCACTGTTATTAGAAAACGAATTAGGAAATTCTATAATTCTTGTAATTATTGAAAAACATATCCTGAACTAAACAAGCTATCAGATATACTATACTGGTCTTATCATTTCATATTTTATGTGACCTTTTGATAATTCCATCACATTGATAAGTAGTATCTTGAATAAAATATAAAGTGCCTTTGGATATAGGATTAAGGTCCAAATAAAGGTAAATAATGTTAGTGACTATATATTCGAATAGCGATGGCTCAGCGTTCCTAAATACTGTTCAAATTTTTATTTTGTTTTTATTTAAACACAAATATTGGTACAAAGCACCAGATACATATGCGCCTGACAAACCTCATTTGATTTGTGTGAGGGCTGTGATACTGTCCAGGTGCCCAAACTGGAGCAGGTGGTTTTTTTAGAGGGCCACACCCGGAGCCTTTGACCTAAAGGTTTGATCCACAAGGCAATGGAGCATCGTGAGGAGATGCAGTCCCATGGTAGCCGGTGAACAATGATTGATTCATACGCCATTTGTTCCCTCAGGATATTGAAGCCCATATGCACCATTGGTTTGGAATTGTGGTTTTCCAACTCCCCTAGGTGGACCCTCCGTGTCCACCAAGCGGGTTGAAGCGCCGGACATTTGCTTTTAGTCCTCTCAATTTCGTAAACAACGGTAATGCCACGAGAAGGCAGTGTGTAAGACTTTCCCGGCATTGGCTATATATGCGTGGCCATGTGAGAGCATTTGGAGAGAGAGCTCACTCTCGACCGTACCAGGGCATTTAAGGGCCAACAATAACGGGGCGGACTTGCATGCATATAGAAAACAGTTCTCTTTAAACCTAACACTTAATGTCTACACTAATCAGTTGTATATGGAATATCAATTATTTCATGAAGAATCTACGATTATTTAATAAATGAAAAAAATGTTCATATGTATCTTCAGAAATATACGAAATAATGTAGCCCCCAACATACTTATTTCATCTACTGTTGAAGATATTTGCGATATACTTTGAAGTAGGTGTGTGGATTAACATACTCATATTTTTTGATGAATCTTGGAAAAGCTTTATTTAGTCCTGAGAAATACTTATTAAGATAACTTACTATAGAAAATACGTTGATGAGACTATAATCTATAGACAACCTTTATGCGATGCTAAAGTGACCTTTCGAATATTCACCTATCTACTAGGGTCAAGAGAGTGTTGCGAATGAGTATATGGAATTAATATTATGATTTAAAGTTAGACGTTAGGGTTAGGAATTACAGTTATGTTTATCACTACGAACTGACAGATATAATGTCGAATTGCTATTCAGCCTTATGAATCTTGTGCTAATGTCTAAAACTTAATCTTGAATGTGACTGGTTTGTCCATAAATTATGATCTCGCGAAAAGCTTTTTCCAAGTACATAACGCTTTTTAAAACAGGCAAAATAATGAAATTCTAGGAAAAGCCTCAAATTTCCATTATTTGAAGAAATATAAGTTTGCTTTGCTCTGAATTTTGTGTAACTACCGTTTCATCATAAACCAGTTAGTGAATTTTATAAACGGGTGGGAGATCATAGATAATATTTCTAGCTTGTGGTGTGGATGTTGGATATGTTATGTTATCCTTCCAGCCTGTAGGACATGATAACAACTAATAGACACATAATGTAAAGTGAATAATCATCCATTTATGTATTTTTCAGTATTTCAAGCCAGTGATCTTTTTTCAGTAGGTCAAACTACATGAAATAAGATATCCTCAAATGTAGGTATTCAATTCATCTTCTTGTTAAATCTCAATGGTTTACATTGTGATCTAATTGCGAAATTCAACCATTCATAGGTGAGGTTATCTGCTAAGTTTTAAGTGTTCAATGATCGTCATTGACGATATGTCACAGTTTTTACATTCAAAATCACCTCAAAACTATAACAGTGATTGTCAGGTGATGATAAATGAGTAACGTTAAAAGGAAATTCCTGAAGTGATCAGTGAAGTTTGACGATGTCAGGTATGAGATAAATATTAACATTTAATGACAGGTAATATTACAGACTGTTTGTTATTAAGATTGGAAGCTAGTGAGCAGTTTGGTGCACACCGCGAAGCCTGAAGTTGCTGGATTCGATCATTGGAAAGAGCGTAAATTCACATTGTTATGAAGTCCCACACTTGAATGAAACATCTTTCAGGTTCCTTGAGGGTTTTGATGGTTGTCGAACCAAATTTAATGCGTGGTGTGAAACAATGGATTCAAAATATCTCCGTACTATTCTGATAATGAAATTCAATATCTTAATTCACTAAATTTATGAACTTATGTCATGTTGAAATCGTGAGCCAGTTGAAGCTAGACCACCATGGAAAACCTGGAAGCACTGGACGGCCGTTTCGTTCTATTATGGAACTCCTCAGCAGTGTGCATCCACAAAACCCCTTCTGATTATAATCATAAGCTCACTAGTGACTGACTTCAAGATACATGTCCTGGAGTTCTATTTGGAAGCAGTGACCAGTGGAGTTCAACCTCGTCCGTTGTGAGATAATAACTCACTGAAGACAATTGGTGAATGGTCGCTCATCATTTGTGGATCGATTGAAGTTAGACATAAACACCGTTGGATGCCGGCTCAGTGGTCTATCGGTTAAGTGCTCTGGCTCGAGACTGGTAGGTCCTGGGTTCGAATCTCGCGAGTGTGGGATCGTGGATGCACACTGCTCAGAAGTACCATAATAGGACGAAACGGCCGTCCATTGCTTCCAGGTTTTCCATGGTGGTCTAGATTCAATTGGCTCATGATTTCAACTTTGAAAAAATACTGAAATCTCCACAAAACCGCTTCCGATTAATGTCATGTCCTCATATGGCTCTATAAGTCATAAAAGTCTATTTTTATGATTTTCGGCAAAGTATGTCAATGGATCTGTTGACTGAATATGCATAGCATCCATCTTAACTTCCGTCAGCTGATGCAAAGTCACAACTCCATAAATTGATTTACAGTTTCTATACATGTATTAAATGTTCTGAAGTCTAACAAACTGAAATCTCTACAGTAAAATAAGAACAAAATGCTATTTTATACAATATAGAGTTTAAACAGCTTAATAAAGGGTTATCTATAAAAAAATCGATTTCGTTGATAAAATAAAACATAAAAATTGTGTCAAGAATAAAATAACTTGAAAAGAAAGTTTGTTATTCATGAATCGTGTTGTTGCTTTATTACAACCATCTCTATCTTGACAGTAGCAAACTTCTTTATAAACACCTTGTGCTTCAAACCAGTAACGACAACTCCAGGCTAAACCTAAAATAAATAAAAGTTATTTTGAATAAAAGGCTGCTTTTTCGTACAATTCGAAAAGTTAAAAACACAAAATTTAGCGGTGATCTCTTTTCGACGAACTTACTGTCAAACTGCATACACGTATATGTGGAATATTAGATTTGAGAACATGTTTCGTCAGGTCGATGGAACGGTGGAGAAAAGAATAAGAAATTCCTCAACAAATTCTTAGTCGACCGTATCCGTTCATATCTACCAAGATATATTTGTATCTAACTCTTTAGTAATATTAAATATTTTTTGTACATACAAGCGAATTTCAACTTTTCTAAAGACCAAGGCTTACACACACCTAGTAAATCAGTTTATATATCAAGTTCTAACACTGTTTTGATGTCAATAATACGGCATATGGCAGCTATTTGTTTTTTCTACTATATGGGTTTATCATGGTATATGAATAACTGCTTCTAAAGAAGATAGGCACGCGTTCGACTTCTACTGACTGCAATCTTATATTTCGATATATGGATGTCTTCACGTACAAATAGGTTTGCAAATCCATTGGGATATGAAGCATTAATTGATATGCTTCTGAAGCTCACTTGGGACCATGAATTTATCTTTTACGATGACAGCATATTTTTTTCTCAAAACCTGTTTTTTGGTCTCCGTTTCAAGATTGCGGCAACATAATGTAAACTTCTTTTCGAAAATGGATAAAAGAACAGTTGTGGTGGTAAATGTTTTACATATTAACGTTAACGGCCTTTTTTACTACCTTTTTTTGGTCACGGTCTAAGTATATTTTTCAATCACATCTCGAATGTAGATTTGTTAAAATTCGATGAAGAGGTACTTTACTAAGCTGTACTTGTATTTTAGTAGTAAAAAATTGTGGAATCTGAAGTATTAACCAGTTTAGAAGGAGTTCTGCAAGTGATCGTTTGATATCAGAATCATCTTTTCGATCAAGCAATACGCCTCATGGGTCAGTACATATCTAAGTGCCTTATGAAGTTCATGTAAAAACCAAGTTACACCCACATCCCTATAATTAACATAAATTCCACGCACTTCGTTTACGAAATAAACCTACTCGTCACATTTTCCATAGGTTACAAAGTATAGATCGGTTGAGAGTGGTTCCGAAAGATTAATTTGCACCTGATGTTACTTTGTGGCTCAAAATACATCTGTCTTAGTTTTTGAGAAGTATAATTTTTAAAAAAAACTTATTCTACAAGTAGTTCTAGACATTTTCAAGTAGAACTTTGAGAATTTAGTGCATTCACTTTTTGACATCATTTGTCTAACCTATTTTCGAGAACTATTCGTTAAAAATAGTTGGGCGATAGTAACATAATTTAATGAAAATATCCTGAAACACAAGAATATGTTTTTTATGTAATTGTAACCTATTCTGCTACATTTAATAGTGCTTGTTATTGATGTATGAACATTAAATTTCGTTTGATACGCAATAATGGTTATTATCACAGATATTAATTAGTTCATGAAGCAATCATTATCTTTTCTAAAATCCAACTGTGCATGTACAACACTTTTCATTTTAAATAAATAAACAAATTCTTAAAGTCATGCAAAGACAGTAGACATGTGTAGATTTGATATTGATTAGAATTTACTCACCTTCTATAACTAAACAAAGATAGAGTATTGTTTTACAATCTGTAGATGCTAAAGAAACATGAGTATAGTTCAGTTAAAAAATAAACGGTTTGATGATGTGCAAACCTTGAGTCATATATACATCAATGAAATTACTCCATAACTACCAAACTTAATTATTTCCTCCCCATATTAGAATTATGGGCAATCAAGAAGAGCTACAAAATTATGAGCGCGTGAGCATTTCCCATCTTTCAGTTCACATGCGATCGAAGCAGGTTAAGTCTTACACATAAATTAGGGTTGATAAACTTGTGACTGGATATCGAAGGTAAGTTGAGGTAATTCAAGGAAGTAAATTATTTCAAAATAAGATTTTAAATATCTCACCATAGTCAGTTCGTGCACCACATGTCCGTGTGACTTTTATCCATGAATGCCAACCAGTGCTTTCTTGATAAATTTTTACACAAAATGTTCCAGGTGAGTGTGACAAAAAGCTACCACAATCTATCATTGCATTAAGTCTCGTATCAAAAAACCTTCCGGCTGGACACGAATCATCTTCATTGCTATCGCACTGATAACATCGAATCGCCAATATTTCTAATAGGTTGAAAAAATAAAAAAATTATCAATCAATATATCCAGCAAGATCGGTACGTTCTAATTAAGCGGCACAACGATATGAAGTCGAGAACTTAAATATCAAAATTATTATTACCCGAGAAACCGAGTTTCGTCAAAACTTGTGTAGGCTCTCTACAATATAAGAGCCACGAGTTTGCTTTTATGACAAGTTGTTGGCAATAGGCACAATACGATTTAGACTCTGTATAGTTATATAAATTATACCTCACGACAACTCTACGGAGCATAACCTCACTTTCTGTAAAGTGTTAATTATTACAAACGATTTTAAAAGAGCATATCATGATTCGCATCCATTTCCAACGATTAAATTAAACTATTCATTTCAGAACTTTTTTGACATCAAATTATAAATCTTGCACTATTTCTATGTGATGATACACAATATAATTATAGTACTTTGACACACTTGAAACAAGCACTTAGCTTTATATCTCCTTCGTTTATTATATGTAATTGGATCATCATGTTTTATCGCTTGCCGGACATAGAGTTAATTAGAATATGACCCATGACCGATGGAATAATTTGAGTTTTCGATCCAAATTTCATACTTGTGATCGTCTCAGTGAAGATGACTACCTATTGTGGAAGTTAAGCGTCAAGTGTATATCTCTCTCAATGGCACAAGGACGCTAACCAGATAACTATGTTTTAATTAGAGAACTCGGAGCCAAGAAAGTAATTGGAAATTTTTCATACTTGACTAGTCGAAGTATAGTTGAAACAATGATATCTTCCAATCTCCGATTTCCTACAGATTTGAATAGATTTTATATGAATTCATGTGAATTATTTTGAAAGCAGTTTTTATACATAACTAAGTTTTCGAGTGATGAAAGTGTACAATAATTTCAAAGAGTTTTTCATCCCGTAAATAACCTGTAGAAGCGTTATGAAATTATACTACCAAATAGCTGAATGTTTGAACAACGAAAGAAACTAACCATTCTCGTACAAAAGCAACAAAATGTAAACAGGAAACAACAGTGTAAACATATTTGAATGTTTGCCGCTGTTCGCCCTTGAAAGTAGTAGTTGCTGTTAGAAAAGAAGAGGATATGATAGCTAGACCGTCATGCTTCACCTTCGAAGATATCAAAAACTGGAAACATTATTTTATATTCTGCACCGTCTACATATGAAAAACCACTAAACTCTCATTTAAATGCCAGTTTGAATTTCCAATGTGACCGATTTTATATGATTTTAACATTATTCCTTTGATCGTATAGATGACCTAACCACATTACTATTAGTTACATATAACCTGACGATCTACAACATGTCACTTGTCCGCTTGACTTTGAAGCTAGAAATTTTATGCTTCTATTTACCGGTTCCTTTCCTGTTAACAGTCTATAAATTACACAAATCCGACATTTGTTGTGAATTTTGGTATTTATTCATCAAAAGAGAATGGTGCTTAGATGAAGAGCAAGGTTGATTTCAGGTCGTTTTGAAAGGGCATTGACCACAACTACACACACAGTTCTATTAATTGAGCCTGCGAATTATACGTATATCATTAAACAAGTATGATAATATTGTGGCAATGCAACTGGCGGGACTTTGACATTCACTTTTGCCACTTGCTGACAACTCATGCATTTGTGGACCAACTCAGCGATATGTTGATCCATTAGGGGCCAGAATCTTTAGCTCGTTGCTATGGATTTCAACCGTCTAACCTCTGAAGGACGAAAGTGGAACTGTTTCAGCACTTCTGCGCAGAGGCATTCTGACTCAACCACTATTTCGTCAAACATCACACAGTCGTTCACAATGCATAATGAATCCCGCTGCTGATGCAGCTATTTCATGTCACCAAATGATCATAAATGAGTCGCGATAAGGCACCTGCTCGACCGAATTGTTGAGTGTGTCGGTATTGGGTCTTGAAACCATACCCCAGTAGTACAAAGGCCAATCGCTGAAGACGATTCGCAGAATAGGCTGAAATGCTAGATTTTGATCCGAATATTGCGAGGAAAGGCTTGTGATCTGTGACAAGCGTAAATCTCCGACCGTGTAAAAACTTGTGGAAAAGTCGAACAGCGGACACAAGTACAAGAGCCTCTTCGTCTATCTGGCTGAATTTCTTTTCTGTCGGGGTTAGTGTATGGCATGGATGCATAACAGCTTTTTCTGAAGCGTCTGAGAACAAATGTGAAATAACAGCACATAGGCGATACGCTGAAACGTACGTACAGGATACCTGATAGGATGGTATCCATTAGCTGCTGAAAAATAGATGGGTCAGTCTTGACTCCGAAAGGCAGACGGTTATGCTGAAACAACTCGCGATGTATATTGATAGTAATCAGCTATTTTGATACTTCATCTACTTATACTTTCAAGTAAGCATTAGCTATGTCCAGTTTTGCGAAGAATTTTTATCCCTTCGATATAGTAAACAAAGCTGCGGAACTGGCAGAGGATAATGGTGCTGTTCCATAGCTGCACTGAGATCTGTAGAAAAGCCAGCCGTAGACCTTCTCGATAAGAACTATAGGTGCTACCCAAGCAGGATAAGAAATGGGAGTAATAGATTCTTGTTATTAAAGGCGATTCCAGTCCTCATCCACTTTTGGAGAAAAATAATGGATATGAGTGATTATGTGCTATATAACGATTGAGCCTGAAATTGACATAAAGTCGCAACGTTACATTTGACCACCCTATCTATAAACTTCGCGCGAATCCGACAACAAACCCAGAGGTTAAGTGTTTGCAAGAAAATAAGTGTTTATATGCTGCAGCTTGTCCATCTAGGAAAAGATCAGCCAGGAGATACAGCTAGACACACCGCATATACATTCTACCTTGGTATGTCTGTGGTCAGGTTTTTTTCTTGTTTTCCATCAGCAGAGTGAAACACTATGCATCGTTGAGAGAGATCGACAAAGTCAATCCAGACTGGAAGAATTCACATCAGTGTTTGCACCCCCTTGCCAGACCGGAATTTAAGGTATTCAATAAAAACATTCAATCGTCATTCAACTACAAAAGTTTGTTATCGATCTGTGACTGCTTTTATGGGCTAAACTTACAAGTGACCTATCTTTTGTTTATATGTGTACTGTCCAAAACACTTCTTAACCTTGTCCAAAACCTATTGCTTTTCAAGCACTTGAACAATCCAGTGATCTATGGCTGTTTCACTAAATCCTCATAACGTTTTGACTTGTCTGTAATACCGCGGTTAATTTTGTCACCCTATTTTAGTAACACTGAGTGGCAATTACCTAGTCATTTGAATGTATCTAAATCCACATTACAGCGTAAACAATGAGATGGAGGGGCCTAATATAGTAGTAGAGATGATAATCAGAAATATGAAATGTTGAAAATACGGTTTAAAAAACAGCGTGAAGTGCGTCGGTTGTTAAATTAATCCGCGACGTCCGACCAAGCAACATTGCAAAAGAAAGATATAGTTATATTTAACAGCTGATAGTGCAATCCAGCACACGCAATCGACTATCGCTAGGACTCTTGAAGTATATATATACCAGCACTGATGTTTATGCTGAGAATAAAATCTAATATCTGCCGTTTCAAAAGCCATTGCGTTATCCAAAGATTTTTATGTTGGTTTGTTCTCTGAGCTGGATGGTTTGGTCATGGAGCTTTCATCGTCCTTCTGAACGACATCATCAGCACAAACTTCGGGTAGAAGTGAAGTGTTTGAATTTCTCCACATGTGATTCACAGCTTGTCCTCTGCACCTCGATGTTGATTGGTTCTTATTGACCTTAAATCTGTCATTGTTTATTTCTTTGTTTTGATTGTCTCTCCTATTGTTTTGATTTTTGTTCCTATGTTCCTGCATAATTTTCTTGATTGGTTGATAGATTGGATTGATTTCAATATGTTTGTTTATTGCAGATTGACCTGAGTGCCAAGCTTCTAAAAATTCTCTGGTATTTTTGGAATTGCCTCTGTCCAAAATCTGCACATTTTCCCAGTCGAATGTATGTCCGTAGTTGTCCACGTGTATTGATATGAGTGAAGAAATGTCGTGGCGTTTGACTGCTAATTGGTGTTCATGTAGGCGAAGATGCAGGGGGCGTCCGCTTTGTCCAATATAGTGTTTGTTGCAGTTGGTACAATTTATCTTGTAGATGATGTTTGTTTTGTCTTCTTTTGCCATTTCATCTTTTGGTTTGCATAAGATTGAGTGGAGGGACTTTGTTGGTTTGTGGGCTACACCTATTCCGAAGGTTTTCAACAGCCTTGTTGTCGTTTCCGATATGCCCTTTATGTATGGTAGGGTGATCCTTTTGTTGATTTTTATACTTGACTTCATTTCTGATGGTGTGTGCGACTGGAATTTTTGGATGAAATTGATTGGATAGCCGTTCTTTTGAAGAATGGTTTTCAGGTGTTTTTCTTCATTTTTTCGTGCTGTGATTGTATTGCAGTGTGTTCTCGCCCTCTTGAACAAAGTTTGTACACAGTTGATTTTGTGAGTTCTTGGGTTGTTGCTATTGTAGTTGAGAATTTGATCGGTGTGGGTCGGCTTCCTGTACACTTGAGTCTCTAGTTTTCCTGTGTCAGTTCTGGTGATTAATACATCTAAGAATGGCAACTTGTTGTCCGACTCTTGTTCCATTGTGAACTTGATGTCGTTGAAGACGTTGTTGATCTGCTCGTAGGTGTTTTCTAGTTCCTCCTTTTTGACGATGACGAATGTGTCGTCTACATAACGAATCCAAATTTTTGGTTTGATCACTGGTAGAATTGTGGTTTCTAGTCGTTGCATTACTGCTTCCGCGATGAGTCCTGATATTGGTGATCCCATTGGTGTCCCTTTTGTTTGTTTGTAGATTTTGTTATTGAACTGGAAATATGTTGTTAGACATAGATCTATGAGTTCAAGTAGGCTTTGACTTTGAAGTTTCGTGTATTTCGCGAGGTTTTCGTCGTTGGTTAGGAGCAAGGACAGAGTTTCTTTTGCTAGGTTTGGTTCAATTGAAGTGAATAGTGCTGTCACATCGAAGGATATCATTAGTTCGTCGTCGTTGATTTGAATGTTCCTAATCTGATCAAGGAATTGTGTGGCTGATTTGATGGAGTGGTTCGACGAATCTACTAAATGTTTCAGTATTCTTGAGATTTCTCTTGATAAATTGTACGTTGGTGTTCCTGGTAGTGCTACAATTGGACGTAGTTGGATGTTTGGTTTGTGTATCTTTGGTCTGCCGTAGAACCGAGGGAGTACTGGTCCATTAGATTTCATTCTCCATTGATCTTGCTTCGTTATTTCTCCTGCTTTGACGAGTTTGTTTAAAGTTTTTGAAATGCGATTGTCTAGTTTTTTGACTGGATTTATGTCCATCGGTTTGTATGTACTTTTGTCCTCGAGTATTTCCTCGGCTTTCTTGATGTATTCTTCCTTGTCCATAATCACCGTAGTGCGTCCTTTGTCTGCTGGAACGATTACAATATCTTTTCTGGTTCTGAGTTTCTTCAAAGCTGTTTGTTCTTGTGACGTCAGTTGGTTGTTGCCCTTCATCCGTTGAGTTAGTGGTATTATAGATTGTCTTATTTCCTGTTGCGTTTCCTCACTTATTCCGGAAGTTTTGAGTGATGACTCTAGTGCTGCGTAGAATGCTAGTTTTGAGGCATCGCTTGTATTGTAATTTAATCCTTTTCGGAGTAGCTGTTCTTCTGTGTTTGTTAGTGGTTGCTTTGATAGGTTGACCACGCTGTTGTTTGTGTTTTCTTCTATAGTTGGTTTTGAGATTTTGATTATTTTCTTTTTAAGGATATTTCTTCTTTTTTCTCTGTGTCGTTTGCATAATGTTTCGATGGCTGTTGACAAGATTTCGAAGTGTTCTGGTGTGAGTGTCTGTTGTAGCTTCCTCTTTTGGTCCTCTATGACATGTTGGTATTGGTATCCAAAGAGTCGCTCATTCTCGATAGCCAGTCAGATGTTCACCGAGTTTGTACTTTATTCACATACACTTCCGATCCTTAACATCAACACAATGAGAATTGACGATTTCGATAACAAATTCTTACGACAACTTCTCTAGTTCTTTTTATTATCATTAGGATCAGTTCTCATCATTCTATCCACATTCTATCCCAATTTGAGCATATCAATTTAAATTACTTACATCATGGTCTACCTCACCTAATCTATTCCT